CCACCCAGCTTGTTTTTCCTTTTTTTTTTTTTTTTGTGGTCTCAAATTTGCTGTCTCAAATGAGGAATGGGAATTCTCAAAAGTTGTTTAATCAATAATACTAGAGAAATATTCTTGTGTGTTTATTTCTTTAGTCAAGAAGGCGATTTTGGTTGCTTCTATGATGAAAGAAGTAATAATAAACAAACCAGAATTGAAGGAGACAATGATCTCAGGGCATTTGACTAATAGTTGAGCAGAGATGTGGCATTGGGATAGACTGCAGAAAGAGGGGAGGGTAAGAAGAGGAACTTTGTGGGATAGATAGGGTCAGCATTGGGTTAGAGAGGTATCAGAGATCCATGGCAACAGAGGACTATCCCTCAGGTCAGTACTTGTCTCTCTACCTTTTCTTTTTTTCCCTAGACAGGATTTTCTATGTAACAGACCAGGCTGGCCTTGAACTCATACACAAATACCTGCCTTTGCCTCCTGATTGCTGCGATTAAAGGCATGTGCCACCACTGTCAGGTGCTTCCACTTTTTTTGAGACAGTGTCTCTTGTCATCATCTCCACCACTGTTCTATAAGCCAGGTTAACTGGCCCGTGAGCTTCCCAGGCAGGATATGTACTGCTACATCTATCTGTTATGGCGCCTCTATCTATCTATCTATCTATCTATCTATCTATCTATCTATCTATCTATCTATCTATCTATCTGTTTATTTTTTATTTATTTATTTATACTCTTTATTCAGTCATGGTGTTTTATGACAGCAATAGAAACAAACTAATACAAAGGTTTATTGGTGAAACCAAGACAATATTTTGGTTATATAGCACAGGTTAAGTTTAAACTCAAGATGATAGTCATGTATTCCCAAGCCCAGTTTATAAGATATTGTTGAAACTGTGGCTGTAGCTCAGTTGTTAGAGCACTTGAATGCATAAAGCCCTGCATTTTATACTAATCCCACTATCCCTTAAACTAGGCATGGTGACACACACCTGTAATACCAACCCTTGGGAGTGGAGGTAGAAAGATCAGGGTTTCATGGCCAGCCTCAGCTGTATCAAGAGTTCAAGGCAAGTCTTAAGCTACATGAGGACCCTATCTACAAAATAAAATAGATTAAAATTTTAGTTTGCTAGGCAGTAGTGGTACACCCCTTTAATCCCAGCATTTAGGAGGCAGAAGCAGGCCAGTCTCTGTGAGTCAGTCCAACCTGGTCTGCAGAGTGAGTTCTTGGACAGCCAGACCTGTCTTGGGGGCAAGGAGGGAGAGAGAGAGAGAGAGGGAGAGAGAAGAGATTGATTTTATAAAGGGAAAAATAATATAACAATATTACTGTGTGGTAGATGAGGGTGAGTCACTGAAAGTTTCAGTATACTTTAAGAAGTTAATCTGGGGAGGGTCTAGGCCCTGCCCTGGATGAAATGGCAGACTATGGACACCCCCATGGAGGGCCTCACCCTCCCTGGGGAAATGAGGGGATAATGGGGAGGTTGGGGGGAGGGCACGGGAGTAGGGGAGGGACCTGGAACTGACTTGGGAAGCAACCTTGTTTCTTATCTAAATTTAAACTGAAAAATAAATAAAAAAAAAGAAGTTAATCTGACAACCAAATCACATTTAGTATGAATTTATATGTACTTAAAAGCAGTTGGAAGTGTGTAGATGAGCTAATTTGGGTACTCTTTTAGTACTGGTTATAAACAAACAATAGTATGTAGTTTCCTAAAAAACTGGAGCCGGGCATTGGTGGCGCATGCCTTTGATTCCAGCACTCGGGAGGCAGAGGCAGGCGGATCTCTGTGAGTTCGAGGCTGGGCTGGACCGACAGCCTTCAAAACAATACAGAGAAACTCTGTCTCGTAAAAACCAAAAAAAAATATAAATAAATAAATAAATAAATAAATAAATAAATAAATACTTGCTGGTCAAAAGTCATAGAAGAGTCAAGAAAATTTGAATTTATAAAAATGCTATTAGAGTTGGATCTTAAAGGTTTAATTGGTGACCTACAAGTGTTTATAATTCAGATTTTCTAGGATTAAATTTCACATTATTAGGTGTATGTATATTTGTGTGAGGTCTAATGACAATCTTTGGCATTTCTATGATAATGAACATTTTATCCCTGATAAGAATACGTTGACTGGTCATTGAGCCCCAGGAACCTACCTGTCTGCCTTCCCAGCAGGATTACAAAGTGTGCACCACAATGCTTGTTTTCTGAAATGTGTGGTCTACATTCTGACTGAGTTGTCTTACCAGCCCCAGGAATATATGTATTTAATATTTAAGCATTTGCTGAAGATGTTTGGCCCTAAAGGAACATATAGAAAATAGAGATCAAGAGATCTTTGCAGTTGGGGGGTGGGGGGCAGTAGGAGAGAGGGGGAACTGGAATTGTAGTGTAAAAAATAAACTAATAAAAGAATGTTAAAGGGGGCTGGAGAGATGGCTCAGGGGTTAAGAGCACTGGCTGCTCTTCCAGAGGACCTGAGTTCAATTCCCAACAACCATATGGTGGCTCAAAACCATCTGTAATGAGATCTGGCTCCCACTTCTGGCCTGCAGGCATACATGCAGACAAAATACTGTAAATACATAAATGAATCTTTAAAAAAATGTTAAAAAAAGAAAGGAGAGAGAGAGAGAGAGAGTGATGGCTTAGGCTTCTTATTGGCTAGCGCTCTCTTAATTATTAATACATTTCCATTAATCTGTGTATCTCCACGTGGTCTTGGCATATCCGTGATGCCTGGGCTTCTTGCTTCCTCAGCAGCTACATGGTGTCTCCTTTACTTTACCTACTACCTTTATCCCTGTTTGGTTTTCTCACCTGGCTAAATCCTGCCTGTCCATTGGTCGAAACAGCTTTATTCATCAACCAATAGTCACAGCATATAGAAGAACATCCCCCATCAGACATGGTAGTGTAGGACTGCTCACCCCCAAGCAGAGAATGGAAAGGAAGAAAGAGACATAGTGTATCACGAATTCTCTTAATAATGGAAGTAGAAACCCAGTGTCAGCTATCGGGGGTCAAGGCTGAAGGTCAGAGAAGCAGATCAGCCAGCCACTAGAGTTCTTACCTCTATCAGTGCTCAGACCAAAGGGGTAATCATCTCCTCAGATTTCATCCTCAGACTGACTGCTCCTCAGAGTGACTGCTGCTCAGACTGCACTGAGCTCCTGTCTCCTCCCATTTTATATTCCTCTCTTCTCCTAGCCATATCACTCATGTCTCCACCTCCTTAGTGCTGGGGTTAAAGGTGTGTGATCCCAAGTGCTGGGATCACTTGTGTGTGAGCTCTGTTTCTCTTTTAGATTCAATCTTGTATAGCCCAGGGTGGCCTTGTGCTAACAGATCCCTCCCTCTGCTTCTGTCTCCTGATTACTAGGATTAAAGGTATGCGCTACCACTGCCTGGCCTCTATGGCTAACTAGTGTGGCTAGTTTTGCACTTGATCTTCAGGCAAGCTTTATTTGTTATAGCATAAATAAAATATCCCCACAACAGAGAGGCAGAGATACCCTTTGAAGACATATCCCCAGTGATCTACTTCCTTCAGCTAGGTATACATCCTGAAAGCTTAAACTACATTTCCAAATAGCACCAAATACTGGGGATCAAACTTCAACACATTCATCTGTGGAGGTATTTTATATTCCACAGAAGGGTAAAGGCAAGTGTTTAGATAGCTGTGGATGAGCAGGAAGAAGAAACACTGTCTATATGTACTGTATATGTTTAAATTAATCTTTGCATTTCTTTTGGGCTTTAACTGTGTTATATTATTTTTCATTTGCCTTTAGCTTTAATTGCTTAAAGGAATTTTCGTGAGCTCTATCTTCCTTATAATACCCTTAAACTATAAAATGTAAACCATGTTTCAGCATTTTGTTCTGAAATAGTTGAACACTTCAATACTATTAATATTGACCCAAGATTTTTGTTGCACCATAGTCAAGTTTTCCATGTTACTTCTGTAAGTGTATTTTCCTTTTCTTTGCAAGATACTGTATTTCCCCCCCCTCTCTCCCTCCCTCCCCCCTCTCTCTTTCTTTCTCTCCCCCTCCCTCCCCTTCCCTTCCCTCCCTCTCTTCCATTTTTCCTCTTTCATTGGTTTATTATTTATTTAGACAAGGTCTCCTTATGCAGCCCTGACTGGTTGGGAAGACTTTCTGTAGACTAGACTGGCCTCAAGCTTACAGTCTGTTTCTGCCTCTGCCTGCCTCCCAACTACTAGGAATTGTACCTGATCATCCTGTTGTTTTCTGTTTACCCTGAATTATAACCAAGCCATATTATTTACTTTGCAAGTTGCATGTTTCTTCTTTTTTTTTTTTCTAATGGCTAGCTCTTTTTAAATTTCATTTATGTATTTTTTGAGATAAGGTCTTCTCTGGAGCCCAGGCTGGACTGGACCTCACTGTATAGTTTTGGTTGGCCTTGAATTTGTGACAGTCTAGCCTTAGCTTTCTAATGCTGGGATTACAGCCTTGAACCACCACCACCACCGTCAGTTTATTACTGGCTCCTCTTCCTTCTTCCTCCTGCCATGATACAGATCATTTAAATTTGTGTGTGTGTGTGTGTGTGTGTGTGTGTGTGTGTGTGTGTGTGTGTGTGTTCAAGACAAGGTTTTGCATAGCTCAGGTTGACCTTGAATTTGCTACATAACTGCGTGTGTAACTCTTGATCTTTCTGCTCCTTCTCAGGTACTGGGCTTATAGGCATATGCTTTGTTCAGAGGGTTTTGCTTTGTTTTTGTTTTTTAAGACAGAGTAGAGTTTCTCTGTATTGTTTTGGAGGCTGTCCTGGAACTTGCTCTGTAGATCAGGCTGGCCTCGAACTCACAGAGATCGGCCTGCCTCTGCCTCCCGAGTACTGAGGCTAAAAGTGTGTGCCACTACCACCTGACTTCAGAGGTGTTTGATATATTTTTTGCCTCAAGTTTATGAGGAAACACATCCAGATTAACTGTTGTAATTTTGCTATTATTATAGACTTGATCGCCTTTTTATCTTACTGGATACCGGCACTACTCCAGTTACAAGAAAAGCTGCTGCACAGCAGCTTGGAGAAGTAGTGAAGCTTCATCCTCATGAACTAAATAATTTGTTATCTAAGGTAAGAACTCAGTGTTTTTTAATGTAATACAAGTATAAAGATTTGTTCATGGGCAGAGAAACAACAGTATAAGTAACTCACCCTAAGTAACCTTGTGTTCTTTGAATTCCATTAAATATCTTCAGCTCTCCAGATAGTTTTTCAAAGTTGCTATTTGTTTGAAAGAAAAAGTATTTAAGTCAATTTGAATTGTTTAAGAGATTTGTTAATATTGAACCTTTTGCTGGTGTAACAAATTTGAATCTGACCCAATTTGGTGATGAACTAAGTTGTTAATCTGGTTTGTTAGTGGTCTAACTTGTTCTTAATGACTAATACTTATATGATAGTTTGTAGTTTTCAAATGGATGAGAGCTAGCTCATGGGCAATGCTTGAATATATGATGCTAGTTAAGCTGCTTGGGATAGGAAATTTCTTATTTGGTGGGTCAGTGTTTCTGTAGTCCTAGTACATGTCTTTTCCTATGTAATGGCTGTATTTTTGTTTAACTGTGGATATGCTGAAATGTACCTATACATTAATATTTGACAAATTTCATGTGTTAAATTCCCTGGCATGCAGAATAAAGCAGTAATACTTTGGTTCTTAGCCTGTTGGGGGTTCACATCAGATTATCCTGCATATCAGATAATTACATTATTCCTAACAGTAGCAAAACTATATTTATGAAGTAGCAACAAAATAATTTTATGGTTGGGGGTTACCACAACATGAGGAACTGTTTTAAAAGGATCAAAGCATTAGGAAGGTTGAGAAGTACCTAGTTAGAGGTCAGGGTGAACACACATGATTGTCTAGACATTGGAAGCCCTAAGATAGTCTAGTGACTGAACTCTAGTTTAACCATCTCTTTTCATTCTTGTTTGTCTCTCCCTGCTTGATGCATAGGGGTCAGAGTTATAAATCCCCTTTCGTATGTATTGTGTGATTGGTACCATGAGGGCTGATAGTATCAGATATTATCTGAATTTCTAACCAATATGTACACGGAGAGACTGATTTTATACCTATAGACCCCACATTCTTAGAATGGAAAAGAATTTATACTAGACATTATTATACTCATCTGTAAGGTGAGTGGAGAGGCATATGTATTTCTTATTACAAGGAATGAAATGGAGAACTGCCCTCCAAGGGAGTATCCCCCTCGCCCTTTTTTGAAACAGGGTTTCTCTGATTGTCCTGGAACTCAGTCTGTAGACTGGGGTGGTCTTGAAGTCACAGAGATCTGCCTGCCTCTGCCTACAGAGTGCTGACATTAAAGGTGTGTGCCACCATTTCCTGGCACAACAATCTAATTTTAAAGTGTTTTTATCACCCCAGAAGGACACCACGTCCCTTTTAGCAGTTGTTCTAGCACACACTCAGTATTTAATCACATACCCGGCTCTAGCAGCCATTAAACTAGCTTTGTAGATTTGCTCTGAATGTTTTATACAAAACAAATTGTGCTGTATGTGATGACATGTTTCATGTAAAATAATGTGTTCAGGGCTGGAGAGATGGCTCAGAGGTTAAGAGCACTGACTGCTCTTCCAAAGGTCCTGAGTTTAATTCCCAGCAGCCACATGGTGGCTCACAACCATCTATGATGAGATCTTGTGCCCTCTTCTGGCCTGCAGGGATACATGCAGGCTAAATACTGTATGCATAATAAATAAATAAATCTTTTAAAAAAATTTAAAAAATGTGTTCATATTGTAATGTGGTGCAAAATGATAGTTAATTCTGTGGATATGAATGGACAGTACTTATACAGAGTACTACATTTTGTCTGTTCCTCAGTCAGTGGACATTTATGTTGTGAAAAATAGTGTCACGAATATTTATGTACATTTTTTTAATTGTATGGAGATGTGTTTCTTTGTTTGTTCCCTCCCCCTTCCCGCCCCCTCCCTTCCTTCTGTTTCTTTTCTTTTTCTTTCTAAACAGGGTTTCTCTGAGTAACAGGTCTGGCTGTCCTGGAACTTGATTTGTAAACTAGTCTGGCCTCACAGAGATCTGCTTGCCTCTGCCTCCTAGATGCTGGCACTAAAGGCATGGGCAACCATGCCAGGCACGACACTTTATTTTCCTCTGTGTCTGTGTGTGTCTGTGTGTGTGTGTGTGTGTGGAGAGAGAGAGAGAGAGAGAGAGAGAGAGAGAGAGAGAGAGAGAGAGAGAGAGAGAGAGAGAGAGAGAGAGAGAGGGAGAGAGGAGAGAGAGATCTGTCTCCCAGTGCTGGGATTATAAATGTTGGTTTATTACTTGGGTTCTAGGGATTATTGAGTTTAGGTCTTCATGCTTGCATAGCTAGGAACTTAACTTATTAACTGAGCTATCTTGCCAGCCCAAATTTCTTTTTTACTGTGTTAAATAGCTATGTTCTTTTGAAAGTGCCTTTGAATACCCCTCCCCTCCTTTATTTTTTTTGAGATAGGGTTTCTCTGTGTAACAGCTCTAGGTGTTCTGGAACTTGCTTTGTAGACCAGGCTGACCTCAGACTGACAGAGAGACACCTGCCTCTGCCTCCCGAGTGCTGGGATTAAAGATGTGTATCATCATGCCTGGTTCCTCTTTCCCCATTTGAAGATGGTAGTGAAGGCAGGAGAAATGGCTCAGTGGGTAAAGGAGGATGTAGCCAAGTCTGCTCACTTGAGTTCAGTTACTGGATCACTGACAGTGAAAGGAGAGAACCAACTTCTGCAAGTTGTCCTCTGACCTCCACACATGCACATATAGTAAATGTAAAAACAAAGTGATAGTAATATTTTTTGTGAATAGTCAAACTTTGTGAGTTAGTTTAATAGTTCTAAGTGTGTTCTATTTGAAGGATCCTAGATTGTAAATTAATAACAAATTAATATTTTTTCTTGTTAACTGGAACAAACTTTTGATGTGTAATTTATTTTATTTTATAATTTTAAGGTATTAATATATTTAAGGAGTGCAAATTGGGATACCCGGATTGCTGCAGGGCAAGCTGTTGAAGCTATAGTGAAGAATGTGCCCGAGTGGAATCCAGTGCCAAGAACTAAGCAAGGTGCCTTTAAAGTGGAAAAGTAGTTTGAAATAAAACATAACTGTAGAATTAACTACAGTGTGAAGTGTGTAGTTTAATCATTTCAATATTGATTTAAAGGCTTAATTTTCAAATTTTCAGGTTCAGCTTTGCTAGGAAAGAATGTTGAATAAGATGATTTTTGCCTCTAAACTTAAAAAAAGAAACTGATGGATAAACAGTATTTTCATAAATATTTCTAAAAATATTTAATCCTATAGGGTACTAAATTTATTACTTCCCTCCAAGGGTGAATATGGTATAAATATATGAAACAATTAATTTTTTGCTATTGTTTGAAAAACCATGTAGTATGATATTTTCTAAACTCCAGGAAAATTTATGTATGGATATTTGGCAAGCTAACTCTTTATGTCCCTCCTCAGTGTAGGGTGTTTGTCTTCTTGTTTGTTGTTTTGATTTTGTGGTCTTGAGGGTTAAACCCAAGGCCTTGTGGATGACAGGCAGGAATTCTACTACTGAGCTATACTGCTATCCAAAATTAGTGTTTTTTGTTGTTCTCTTTGAATATTGTATAGTCATAAAAGATTGTAGTATTATTTGTGATTGTCTATACTGATAATTTAAAGCAAAGCATATGCCTTTGAGACAATGTAAGGTGTTTAATTTAAGCAATTTTATTTTATTTTATTTTTGGTTTTTTGAAACAGTATTTCTCTGTGTGGCCCTGGCTTTCCCAGAAGACCAGGCTGGCCTGGAATTCAACAGAGATCCACTTGCCTCTGCCTCCCAAGTGCTAGAATCAAAGGCATGCGCCATCAACACCTGGACTTAAGTGAACTTTTATTTTGTATTATTCTTTGCTTTTCTTAAATATTAGCCAATACTACAAGTAATGCTATGCCATATTCTTTCATTCTGCACTTTTAATGTGGTCAAATTAATGTTTTTTAATCTTTGTCTAGAACCTACAGAAAGTTCTATGGAAGATTCATCTACTACAGATCGATTAAATTTTGACAGATTTGACATATGCAGATTGTTACAGCATGGTGCATCACTTTTGGGGTCTGCTGGTGCAGAATTTGAAATCCAAGATGAAAAATCAGGTTAGTAATATAGTCCTGGAGAAGCGGAAATTTTGCTTTCAAGCTAATTTATCATTTGGTGTACTGTTTAATATATAAGGAATCATGAAATGTGTATTGACTGAAATTTTAATTTATGGGGGAGATATGGGTAGACAAAGTAACCAACAGTGCTTGTTCTAAAGCTATATTGATCAGAACCAATATAGAATGTAACAATGATTTTACTATTCTGGGAATTTGAAGGTCATTTTATTGTATTATGTTTTGAGTAGTGTTGGATCTTGTACCTGTGTGTAAAGTAAAAAAAACCTGAAACTAAAATTAAAATCAAACCGTAGCTAGGTATCTGGCTCATTAGCTTTAAGCTAACAGAGTATATGGGATACAAAAGTAAATAAATTCCTGAGTGCAGTGGCTCCTACCTCAGCATGGCTGCTCCTTGGGATCATTTGAGTCTAGACTGGAGCACAGGGGACCCTGCCTCAAAAAGCCAAAAAGGGGTGGTCACAGGGAAATAAATGTTTTTCTATTCAAGATTGTGGCCTTGAGTAGAAAAACATCTGATGTTTTTAATGGATTTCTGTAAATAGGTTGTTCCTTCAAATGGGGCAGAGTGTGGTATCACATACCTTTAATCCCATCAGAAGCAGATGAACCTCTGAGTTCCAAGCCAGCCTGAGTTCTAAGCCAGACAAATCGACCCAGCAAGATTTTGGTTTTTAAAGTGATAGGTGAGTCAGGCAGTGGTGGTGCACACCTTTAATCCCAGCACTTGGGAGGCAGAGGCAGGCGGATCTCTGTGAGTTCGAGACTAGCCTGGTCTACAAGAGCTAGTTCCAGAATAGTTTCCAAAGCCACAGAGAAACCCTGTCTTGAAAAGAAACCAAACAACAACAGCAAAAAAAGCGATAGGTGATATCAATATGAATTTTATTCTTTTGGCCACTTATTTATTGTTCGTGTGTATGTAGGGTGAGAGTCATGTGTGCCATGGTGCTCATGTAGAGGTCAGAGGAAGTATTTGGTTCTTGCTCTTCACTGTATCGGTTCTAGGGATTGAACTCAAGTTAACAGGTTTGATAGCAGACACCTTTACCTATGTATCTTATATATGAAAGCTCTGCCTGTATGTATGCCTGCATGCCAGAAAAGGGGATTGGATTCCAGCAATCACCTTTATTGACTTTCCTAGTGCAGCAGCTTCCAGCTTTGATTTCTTTTGCATATTTACCATGAAGTGAGTTGCTGATCCGGTGGTATTCTGTATTCTGTAGCACCTGTATCATTTCATATTCCCAGCAACAGCGAACAGGGATTTCAATTCTTTCATGCTCTAGCCAGAACTTTCTTTTTGGCATGGTAGGGACAGAATTTAGGGCATAGTTTATTCTGCAAGACCTACCAGTGAGTCACACTCCAGCCTTTTTTTTCCTTTTCCCTCTTTGGTTTGAGTGTTGGTTTGTGGGTGTGTGTGCACACATATATGCCTGAGGGCCAGAAGTCAACTTCATGTTCATATTGGTTTTTAAGACAAGGCCTCACTTTCTGCTGGAACTCACTGGTTTGGCTGGGCTGGGTGGCCAGTGAACTCCAGAGTCCCCTGTCTCCACCTTCCCATCACTGGGGTTATATAATTGTGTGCTATCAGGCCAGGGTTCAGGAGGCTTAATATCAGGTGCCATATCTCCAGCCCCCATTTTCAATTTTTTGGTAGTAGTCATCTTAAGGATATGAGAGAGTCCTATTTTATGGCTAAATGATACTCCCTTTTGTGGATGTCATATTTTATTTATCCTTTCCTCCTTGGGTTGTTTCTGGCTGTTAAGAATAAGCTTCAGTCAGGGCTGGGAACGTGGCTTACTGATTTAAAGTGTGTTGTTCTTGTAGAGGATCACACGTCAGGTGATCAAACCACCAATGACTCCAGGGGATCTAGTAGTGCCCCTTCTCTGCTTATTGCCCCCCACATACACATGATTAAAAATAAAAAATATATGTTGAAAAGAATAAGTTAGTATAATTCACTCATTTGCAAGTTTTTGTATGAACATGTTTTCATCTCTCCCAGGAGTAGAAGCTGGGTCACAGTAGCCATGCTTTTCTGGTAGAGAAACTATGAGGTTTTACAAAGTGGCTCCTACATTTTATATTCCAGCTGCAGTGTATGAGAATTCTAATTTCTCCACAGACTTGCCAACAGTTTATCTAACTTTTGATGCTAGCCCCACTAGCAAATATGAATGTTAGGTCTGTGGTTATAATTTGTGCTTTCCAGCTGACTAGTGATATTGAATGTCTTTCATCTTTTCATGTATTTGTTGTCCATTTTTTATCTCTTCTTTGGAAAGCTTCTCGGTAGAAATGCCTATTCAGGGTCTTTGTTCGTTTTAAAATTTGTCCTTTATTATGACTTGGAACCATTCTTTGTATATTCTAGATAAAAGTATCAGATATATTACTTGCATATTTCATTTATTTATTCTGTGGGTTGCCTTTTTGTTTTTTGGACTTTTTTTTCTTTGTTAATGGTGTAGTTGGAGATCCAACCTAAGGCCTTGCACATATTTTGCTAATGCTCTGTCACTGAGTTAAATTATTGCTTTAATTTTCATTTATTTGTTTATTTATGGTTTTTTCTGAGGCATGGTTTCTTTGTGTAGTTTTAGAACCTGTCCTGGAACTAGCTCTATAGATAAACAGGCTGACCTCGAACTTAAAAGGCCCATCTGCCTCTGCCTCTCAAGTGCTTGGATTTAAGGCTTGAGCCACCACCGCTCAGCAAAGGAGTACACAAGTGAATACATACTGCATTCTTTTTTGTTTTTTGTTTTGTTTTTTTCAAGACAGGGTTTCTCTGTATTGTTTTGGAGGCTGGCCTCGAACACACACAGATCCACCTGCTTCTGCCTCCCAAGTGCTGGGATTAAAGGCATGCACCACCATCGCCCGGCTACATACAGCATTCTTTTTTGTTTTTTCAAGACAGAGTTTCTCTGTGTAGCCCTGGGTGTACTCGAACTCACTGTATGTAGACCAGGCTGACCTTGAACTCACGGAGATCCTCATGCCTCTGCTTCCCAAGTGCTAGCATTAACCTGGCAAGGTTTATCTCTAGTAATTCTTTTCTTTCCCTCCCTCCCTCCCTCCCTCCCTCCCTCCCTCCCTCCCTCCCTCCCTCCCTCCCTCCCTCCCTCCCTCCCTCCTCTCTCCCTTCTTCCTTCCTTTGGTTTGATTTTTTTGGTTTTTTGAGGCAGAATTTCTCTGTGTAGCTTTGGAGTCTGTCCTGGACCTTGCTCCATCGACCAGGCTGACCTCAAACTCACAGAGATCTTCCTGCTCTGCCTCTGCCTCTCAAGTGCAGGGATTAAAGCGTGGGAAACCACCACATGGCTGTTTTAATTTTCTTGACGGTGTTCTTTGAAGCATGAAGTATAGTTTTGGTAGGTTCAGTTTATGTGTTTTTCAATTGTTTGTGTGTCTGTGTGTCATATGTGAGAAACTCCAAAGAGTTTACCAGTGAGCATTGTTCTAGGTTTTGTTTTGTTTTTTTTTAAACTTTAACTCTTGCTATTTGTAAGACTGATTAATGTTCTATTTTAGCAAGTGTTTTTGTTTTTTGAGACAGGGTTTCTCTGTTAGCCTAAAACTCAGAGATCCTCCTGCCTCTGCCTCCTCCCAAGTGCTGGGATTGAAGGTATGTAACACTTGACTATTTTAGCAAGTTTTAAAATCAAGAAGCATAAACTTATAGTTTTGTTTTTTTGGATCTGGAGTTACAAGTGATTGTGAGCCACTTGATACTTAGTGCTGAGAATTCTGGAAGAGCAGCAAATATTTCTATCCTGAGCCTACTCTTTAGTTCTACTGTTGGTTTTGTTTAAATTACATTTTACTTACGTGTCTGTGTATGTGTGTGGGTGGGTGTGCAAATGCCACGGTCACTTGTGGAGGTCAGAGAACAGCTTGCAAGAGTTAGTTCTCTTTTTTTCACCATGTGGGTGCCAGGGATCAGATTCAGCTCACCAGACTTTCAACAACCCCTTTACCCACTGAGCCATCTTAGTTGCCCTGAGATAATTAGTGTTTTTGTTTTTTTGAGACAAGGTCTTGCTACAGACATACAGACAAAGGTAACATAAAAATCACAAGAGATCTACTTGCCTCTTCCCTTCTAGTGCTGTTTCTAAGAAAGTATTTTTATATTGAAATAAAAAACAGCTCTTTTAAGACCAATTTTAATTTTTTAAAAAGATTTACTAGGTTTATGTATATGAGTGTTCAGTTGACTTTATGCCAGAAGAAGGCATCAGATCCCACTATAGGTGGTTGTGAGCTATCATGTGGTTGCTAGGAATCGAACTCAGGACCTGTGGGAGAGCAGCAGCGTTCTTAACCATTGAGGCATCTCTCCAGCCCCCAAGTTTTAATTTTTTGAAAAAATTTAATACAGTGCTCTGCCTACACACCAGAAGAGGGAACCAGATCTCATTACAGATGTTTGTGAGCCATCATGTGGTTGCTGGGAATTGAACTCAATACCTCTGTAAGACCAGCCAGTGCTCTTAACCTCTGAGCCATCTTGGTATTGTGGGATCACCCCTACACATCTCTCAAGCCCTCTAAGTTTTGTTGGCAACTTCTTTTTTTTTTTTTTTTTTTTGGTTTTATGAGACAGGGTTTCTCTGTATTATTTTGGAGGCTGTCGGTCCAGCCTGGCCTCGAACTCACAGAGATCCGCCTGCCTCTGCCTCCCGAGTGCTGGGATTAAAGGCGTGCGCCACCACCGACTGGCTGCCCTCTAAGTTTTAATTTTTAAAAAGTTAGTTTATTCAGAGACAGAGTCTAACTGTGTAGCCCTAGCTGGCTTGGAACATAGAGGTCTGCTTTTGTCCTGGACTCTTGAGAGTAAAGGTATGCTTTGCCACACCTGGCTCTTATTTATTAAATTAAAAAGACATATTTTATTATATGTACATGGGTGTTTTACCTGTACACCATATGTGTAACTGCTATCTGAGAAGACCAGAAAGGAGCATTGAATCCCATAGAACCGCGTTTACAACCAGTTATAAACTGCCATGTGGGTACTAAGAATCAAATGTAGGTCCTCTAGAAGAGTAGCCAGTGCTTTTAACCCTGAAACCATCTCTCCAGCTCCTTCAGTTTTTATTTTTGAAATGCCACCTTTTTGGTATAATTCTGTTTTACTGTTTTTCATCGAAGGATTTGATATTTTGCTGGTGACATTCCAAAACTTACCTCAACTCTGTAACCTAGATTGGTCCCCTACTGCTGCCTTAGCTTTCTGAGTGCTGGAATTACAGACTTGCAATTAACCTAGCAAATGTCAGTTTGTGTTATTTAATATAGTGGGAGTCTGATGTGCACATAGGAAAAACTTCCCTAACTGATTTGGAGGGAATGTATTTCTTTTGTGTTTACAGGTGAAGTGGATCCTAAAGAGAGAATAGCACGTCAACGGAAATTATTACAGAAGAAACTTGGACTTAATATGGGAGAAGCCATTGGAATGAGTACTGAAGAACTCTTCAATGATGAAGATTTGGATTACACCCCAGCTTCAGCAGCTCTTGTAAACAAACAATCTGTAGGTAAAACATTGAGTTGTTTGATTGCAAGAAACAGCCCAAAGGATTTACTTCATTTGTTATGCAAGTGGTACAGTGGTGCGTGTCTATAATCCCCTAACTCTGGAGGCAGAAGCCAGCCTGGGTTACATGATGAATTCTAGGCTAGCTTGAGCTATAGGGTAAGACTTGTCGGGGAGATTTTGGTCCTAACGGGTTGTTCTTGCATATTGAAGCCACTTAAGGGAAATTTCTTTAAGGTTTTTGTTGCTATATGCTATAGCTACATTGTCATGTGCCAGTGGTTCCCAGTTCCAAGACCTCAACATAGCACCCATACTAGTAATCCTTTCTGGTGTGGTTACAATTTCAGGTACTTCCTAGGATAGATACAGAAAAGAATTTCTTTTTCTTTGCTGCTCTCCCTGCCCCCGTCCGTGGCTGTGCTGGAATTCGATCTGTAGACCAGGCTGACCTCAAATTCACAGAGATCTGCCTGTCTCCAGAGTGCTGGGATCAAAAGGTTGTCCAACCATTGCCTGGCTTCAGAAATGAATTTTAAAAATAATTTTTGTTAGCCAGGCGTTGTGGCGCATGACTTTTATTCCAGCACTCGGGAGGCAGGGGCAGGCGGATCTCTGAGTTCCAGGCCAGCCTGATCTACAAAGTGAGTTCCAGGACAGCCTCCAAAACAATACAGAGAAGCCCTGTCTTGAAAAACCAAAATAAATAAATACATTGTTATATAAACACAATATATCTTTCTGGTCTGTGTCTCTTGCCTCTCCCACCTATGATACTTCTGCCTCTGCCTCCAAGGTGCTGGGATTCTTCCTATGTTGCTCAGGCCCAAATTTCTGGACTTATCCTCCTGCATCGGCCTCCTGAGTAGACGAGCACTTATTATTTGCTTATTACACACTGAGTAGAAAAAGATCAAAAGGAGCAGGAAGTGGCTGAGATGAAAGGGTCCTGTGGCTAAGCTGATGACAGCACTGGACCAGTTGGCCACTTAAGGCAATAACCCTTTTCCCCACATGATAAGCATTGGTTCCTTTTATTGAGAATTTTATTTTCATAACTTCTGATGGTATTATTATTTTGAAGTTTCAGCTCTTCAGAAACCCCCTCTTTGTTAGGATTATTTGTTTATGCCATACCTGTAGTTCAAAAAAGTTTGAAACAAGACTTAATTTGTTGGGATAATTAAGAAAGATTTTTTCTTGAAAGTTTAAATTAATTATTTTTTGGGATAGGATCTGTTCCTGGTTGTCCTGGAACTCAATAGGTAGACCCTGGCTGCCCTGGAACTCAGTAGGTAGACCAGCCTGACCTCGAACTCAGATATTCCCTCTACTGGGATTAAAGGCCCGCCATTTTTGATTTTGAGACAAGGCCTTACTAGATAGCCCTGGCCTTCTCATCTTCCTCCATCCTCCAAGTGTTGGGATTTTAAGTGTTCCAGCATGCTTGGTTTGAGAGTAAAGTCATGATACAGCCATATAACATAATAGTATAATATCATCAAAAGCAATGTTTAGTCTTTATATATTAAAATTTATATACTTATTTCTTTCCTAAGATTGAAACTGTAGGTATTTGTTTTAATTTCTGACAGTTTAAACTCCTTGTTTTATTCTTTTAGACTCTCCAGGCAGCTGAATTGATAGATTCAGAATTCCGAGCAGGAATGAGTAATAGACAGAGGAACAAAGCTAAAAGAATGGCCAAGTTATTTGCAAAACAGAGATCCAGGGATGCAGTGGAAACCAATGAGAAGAGGTAGTAATCTTTTTGTTTAGTCACTTGAAACAGTAATTGTGCTTGATTTACAAATGAAAATTTCGATGATATTTATTCAGATAATAGTACTGTTTGGATTGTTTACTCAGGGCAGAGTATTTATTGTTACTGGGGAATGAGATTGTTTCTGCAGAAAAATGTATAGGAGTAGAATTTTTGTTTTTATATTTTTTGCTTAGTGATTTTCATCCTCACAGGAAGACTGAAGACCTACAAGGGAAGAGCATTCCAGTCACAGGGAGTTTAAATATCTTTACTATAGGATAGGCAGGATGGCTGAAGTGTACCAAATGGAGAACATTAGAGAATGAATTCAGAGAGCTGATCTGAGGATCACCAGACAAGATGATAGACTTGTTAAGTTAAAGTACTGTCATTGTGTTATCCTCTGTTCTTCAGTTAGGGACTATGCTAAATAGTTGGTGATAATCTAGACTTGCTTGGTTAATCTTTTTGTAGAAAAGAATTCTAAAGTAGAGCAATTGTCTTATTTACTTGAATCAATGAAAGTGTTATCTGTCCTCAAAGGGTAGCTAGTTCAAAACTACATCTTTCAGAAAGTGCTTGTTAAATTATAGATTTGTGGGCCCCTTGTGTCTGTTAAACCAAGCTCTAATGGTATGCAATAAATGTTTGAGTTATGTATCAGTAAATATTACAAGTATTGTAAAATTAGGACTATGTTATAGATGATAATACTTTTGTTCTTTGAATTCAGATGAAGCTAAAAAGGGTTTGCAGTATTTAAGAGTTAAACACAAACAGATGAATAATAAACCTATTTGATAGAAATCTATGCTTGAGTTTTTTTTTTTTAAAGATTTGTTTCATATATTTTATATATGTGAGTGCTTTGGCATGGGCTTTTGAAACCTCAAACCCCACCTACCAGTGGCATACTTCCTCCAACATGGCCCACCTCCAAACCCTTCTCAAATAGTGCCATTCACTGGTTACTAAGCATTCAAATATGTGAGCCTATGGGGCCATTCTTATTCAACCCACCACAGCTGGGGAAACTAGGAAACAGTTGGAAATTTTTGATTGGATGGTCTAGAAGGCCTTCACAGAGATTAGAATAGAGATCTGAAAGAAGGGTGCTGGCTCTTAAGAAACTTTCTAGAAAGAGACATTCCAAATGCAATCATAAAAGCAAATATCTGGAAGTAGAATTATGCAAGTTCTGTGGTGACTTACCAGCGTAGCCTGATAGGAAAGAACAGGGTAAGGTGACGGAGTCTTCAGTCCTTTTTACAATATTAAGATGCAGAGACTGAGCACTGGGCCTAGTGTTGCACACACACCTTTAATCCTAGTATTGGGAGGCAGAGGCAGGCTGAACTCTGAGTTTGAGGCTAGCTTGCCTGGTCTACAGAGCTAGTTCCAGGACAGCCAGGGCTATGCAGAGAAATCCTGTCTCAAAAAACAAACAAGAAATAAAAACAAAATGATGTAAGAGGAGAAAAATTCAGAGAAAGTAAGACTATACTTTAAACGACATTACTTTTTTTTTTTTTTTTTTTTTTTTTTTTTGGTTTTTCGAGACAGGGTTTCTCTGTATTGTTTTGGAGGCTATCGGTCCAGCCCAGCCTCGAATTCACAGAGATCCGCCTGCCTCTGCCTCCCGAGTGCTGGCATTAAAGGCGTGCGCCACCACCGCCCGGCGACATTACTTTTTCAATTCTTTTCTTTTTTTGGTTTTTCAAGATAAGATTTCTCTGTGTAACAGTCTGGTTGTCTTGGAACTTTCTTCATAGACCGTTCTGGCCTTGAACTCACAGAGATCCTCCTGAGTGTTGGGATTAAAGGCATCTGCCACCAATGCCTGGCCTTTTCAATTCTTTTAATGACATATAAAGGTAGTTTTGTTTTTGTTGTTGTTGTTGGTTTGTTGGCCATGCTGACCTTGAGCTCATTAAATAAATGTCTTTCCGCTTTTTTTTCCCCCCGAGACAGGGTTTCTCTGTACTGTTTTGGAGACTATCCTGGAACTCACTCTGTAGACCAGGCTGGCCTCGAGGAACTCACAGAGATTTCCCTGCCTCTGCCTCCCAAGTGCTGGAATTAAAGGCGTGCAAAATCAATGCCCAGCTGTCTTTCTGCTTTTAATATTTATCATTAGGCTAGCCTTTGTATTTTTTTTTCAAGTTATAAGACAGTACTTTTCTCAAATTTTCTGCATACTTTTTATCAGTGGCCATTTCTGTATACTTTTAAATTTTTTAAAAAAATTTCATACAACATATTTTAATTATATTCTTTTGACTAATAATCATATATCATATTACTTGGCCTATTTGTTTTCTCTAGGTTGCAAAAGCCTAAAACGTTAATGTCATGCTAGATTAAGTTGTTGATTTAGAAGGGTTTAACATTAAAGGGAACTACTTATAGAGCTAAAAGAATGTTAGACTTGAGATTCAATTTGAAAGAAAGGATTCACCAACTTAGAGAATAGTGGGATATATTTTGTTCAAAAATACTAATGTGTTATTTTAATTGGCACATAAGTTTTTGTTTTGTTTGTTTTAAATTATTTTTATTTCATGTGCTTTGGTGTTTTGCCACGGGTGTTGGGTCCCCTGGAACTGGAATTAGAGACAGTTGTGAGCTGCCATGTGGGTGCTGGGAATTGAATCCAGGTCCTCTGAAAGAGCAGTCAGTGCTCTTAACCAGTGAGCCATCTCTCCAGCCCAACACATAAGGTTTTCAAAGGAAACTACATAAGCAAAATTATTGTATTCATTGTGTTATGAATCATTCATATTTTCCTTAATTTGCTTTAAAATTGGTAACTTCTCTTTTAGCAATGATAGCACTGATGGAGAGCCAGAAGAAAAGAGACGGAAAGTAGCAAATGTTGTTATTAATCAAACTGCAAATGATTCCAAAGTCTTGATTGATAATGTTCCAGAAAGTTCTTCTTTAATTGAGGAGGTATATTGAAATTGTTTATAACTTTCTTTTTATCTTAATTATTATTATTTGTGCGAATATTTTGCTGCATGTATGTCCATGCACTAGTTGCATGACTGGTTTCATGGAGTTTAGAACAGGCTGTCAGAACCTCTGAAACTGGAGTTATAGACAGTTGTGAACTGCCATGTGAGTGCTGGGAATTGAACTTGGGCTCTCTAGAAAAGCAGCCAGTGTTTTTAACTACCGAACCATCTCTCCAGCCCGTTTCTTAAATGTATACATTGAGAATATTATGTTATTTGTCAACCAAGAGAAATGTATTAATAAATGTCTTAACACTTTATTAGTAAAACATTTAAAAATTTTAAAGCTTTGTTGTTATTGCTAATGCTGCAAATAAACACAGTTTATTGAATTTCTTAAATTCTTAGTGTAGAGCTTTGATCTAGTACTAATTTTATCTTTCTTATTTAGACAAATGAATGGCCTTTGGAAAGCTTCTGTGAAGAACTTTGCAATGACCTTTTTAATCCCTCCTGGGAGGTAAAGCATCTTCCTCTGAGTTCTGTTTAGTGTTAAAGGAAACAATACCAAGGATAGAAAATTTGCTAAGATTCCTATTTTCCCCTTGTATCTCTCTTAGGACATAGGGCATATCATATAGTTTTATTGTCTCTTTTGTGTGTATGGTGGGGGTAAGGTTGAAACAGGGTCTCCTGCTGACTTTGAACTCACAGAGGTTCCTCTACCTCTGCCTCCTGGGTGCCAGGATTAAAAGTGTACTCCACCACACAAGGTTTGACTTCTAAGTAGAAATTTTTAGTCCCCCCCGCTCCCCCCAGACAGGGTTTCTCTGTGGCTTTGGAGGCTGTCCTGGAACTAGCTTTTGTAGTCCAGGCTGGTCTCCACTCACAAAGATCCGCCTGTCTCTGCCTCTCGATTGCTGGGATTAAAGGCTTGTGCCTGCCACCACCGCCTGGCTAGACTTTTTTTTTTTTTTTTTGGTTTTTCGAGACAGGGTTTCTCTGTGGCTTTGGAGGCTGTCCTGGAATTCGCTTGGTAGTCCAGGCTGGTCTCGAACTCACAGAGATCCGCCTGCGTCTGCCTCCCGAGTGCTGGGATTAAAGGCGTGTGCCACCAACGCCCGGCTAGATTTTTTTTTTATACTTTTCTCATCCTTTAAATTATGTTCTGAAGCAAATAGTTCATTTCTCATTCTTTTTTTTTCTTTTGGCTACCATAAAAAATTGTATTTTTCTCATAGATAGTAAAAAATTAGTTTTCATTGAAAATGGACAGCTTTTGGGGATTAGGGTGGCAGTCCCATTGTGGTTCAGTCTGGCTTTGAACTTGTGACATTCTTGACTCAGCCTCCTGAGCTCTAGGATTACAAGTGTTTACCACTATATCATGCCTACAGTTGGACAGTTCTTTTTGATTTGCCAGAAATAGTAATTTCAGTGCCTGGGTGTGTATTTTAGCAGTACAGAAGCCTGTGTGTGTCATAGACAAGGCCCTGAGCTCAAACCTAAAGATCACTCCCACCATCAAAACAAAAACAGTTTTTGAAATTGGACACATCCAGAGTGATATGGCTGTTGACAAGGTAGTTGTTTTCAAACCAGTTTCATAAGTAATTTAACCTCCAAAGTATTTCTTTAAAAAAAAATTCAGATATATCCCATTATGTAGAACAAGTGAAATGAAGCCCTTGGTTGAATTATTAGTTGGTTATCTCAAATCTTTAGTTAGCCCTTGAATTAACAAACGAGGCTTTGGGACCTAGGGATGTAGCTCATTTGTATAGCACTTTCTTAGCATGTATGAGATTCTGCCTGGGTGTTATCAGCATGGAAGAGAGAGAGAAGAGAGAGAGAGAGAGGAAGAGGGAGGAGAGGGAGAGGAGATACTTTCTGTGTATCTTAGTACAAAATGCATATTAAAAGCATGATTGGCCGGGCGTTGGTGGCGCACACCTTTAATCCCAGCACTCGGGAGGCAGAGGCAGGCGGATCTCTGTGAGTTCGAGGCCAGCCTGGTCTACAAGAGCTAGTTCCAGGACAGCCTCCAAAGCCACAGAGAAACCCTGTCTCAAAAAACCAAAAAAAAAAAAAAAAAAAAAAAAGCATGATTATAGGCCAAGTGTGGTAGCACAGCCTTTAATCTCAGCACTAGGGAAGCAGAATCAGATCAATCTTTGTGAGTTTTTGGCCATCCTTGTATACATAGCAGCTTTCAGATCAATTAGGGTTACAAAGTAAAACATTGTCTCAAAAGGAAGTAAGGAAAGCAGGAAGGCAGGCAGACATACATAATTACATTTTAATAGATATTTCTGTAACATCAGTGCTGACTGGGAAACATTTTCATATTAAAGAAAAATTAAACTTGACTTCTTTAACTTTTGACCTCTGATACTTGCTTCCTGTGTTTTTTTAGGTTCGACATGGGGCAGGTACTGGACTTAGAGAAATTCTTAAAGCTCATGGGAAAAGTGGTGGTAAAATGGGAGACAGCACTTTAGAAGAGGTAAGTGAATTAAAATTATGACTTAGTCAGTCTCTGTTTCCAACTTAGGGGGAAGTAACAAAAGTTACATACCATAAAGTAGGGGTACAAGGTAAGCGGAAGTACTGTGTAAAGGTAAGAAAAAAAAAGTAAGAAAGATACAAGTTTGTAGTCATAGATAAGTCTAGGGAACAGAGATATTCAGAAACACTGGAGTAGATAAATTGCAGAAAGGAGCGTTTGAGCAGGATATAATGCAGTAGAGAGCAGAGTGAGGTGAACAAAATGGTAATGGTCCCAGAGCAACATCTGTAGGAAGAGACACTGAGACAGCATAGATACCCGAAGACTTGATACACAGTAATCTAAAGTAATGCTTTTCCCTTTGTTTTCTTGGAGGTGGGGGGTATTTGAAACAGCCTCACTATTTAGCCCTAGCTAGCCTGGGACTCCCTGTACCTATCTTGCCTGGAGCTCACAGAGATCTGTCTGCCTCTGCCTTTGCTTCCTGGGTGCCCAGTTTATAATTAATTTTAAGAGTACAGGTAACATACTAGAACCATGCATTTTGATATAGTGTCTCTGAATATATAGAGGACATGGCTACATCTAAAGAGGGTATATGGAATTCTTCCACAGTTTGGTAACTGTTTATTCTGCTAAGATAGTCTGTCCCAGTATTGTGTTTTTGAACCTAACTCCTCCATTATACTTCTAGTACAGAGTTGATTTTTACCTATTATTAAAAATGATTGTATCTTAATAGATGATTCAGCAGCATCAAGAGTGGTTGGAGGACTTAGTCATTAGACTCCTCTGTGTTTTTGCCTTGGACAGATTTGGAGACTTTGTTTCTGATGAAGTAAGTATCTTCCTAGTGAAGCTTTGCCCAGATTGTAAATTCTGCATAAGTAAATTTTCTGCATATGACTTTTTTTCTGTTCTGTAGGTTGTAGCACCAGTTCGTGAAACTTGTGCTCAAACATTAGGTGTGGTTTTAAAGCACATGAACGAAGCAGGAGTTCATAAGACTGTGGATGTGCTTCTGAAATTACTGACCCAAGAACAGTGGGAAGTTAGACATGGTGGCCTGCTGGGAATAAAATACGCTCTGGCAGTTCGTCAGGTAAATAACTCAGTTTTTGAAAGTGCATGTGAGGGCTTTTCCAGTCTTAGGTGCTTTGTTTGTTGTGATGGCTATGCTTGATTGTTTGTTTGCTCCTTTGTTTTATGATCTAGGCATGTAGCTTCACCTGGCCTGGAGCTTGCTGTATAGATCCAGGTGGACCTCAAAATTGCAGAGGCGGTTCTGCTTCTGCCTCTTGGGGTCTGAGATTACAGGTGTGTGTCGTCATGACAGGCTCAATTGCCTTCTTGAGAAAGTATCACAGAAATAGGTGATGCTATTAGCATTTTACAGAGAAATCAAAGGAGGTTTAGTTAACATTGTTTGTTGTAACTAATTCAGTGCATTTCATAGTTTCTTTAATTGTTTAAACTCATGGTCTGAAGTCTGTAAGTTATGCAGGAGAAACATGTGCAGAAGAAATAGGAAACCCATCCTAGGAAACTTACAGCAACCGTCAAAGCAAGCAATCCACACATCATGTACTTTTTACCTTATTCATCAGTGTTTTTCTTTATTTTTTGTAAGAATGCTTAGAAAAAGAAAATACAGGTACTTTACTGTTTACATATAGGAAAACAAGTTCTAAAAGTTAGAAGTCTTGTTTAAGATTGTACAACTAATTAGGTTTAATACCAAAAGTCAAAACTATATGGCGTATCATTTTTTGTTTGTTTGTTTGTTTTAATAGAGTGTCTTATAATCCAGTGTTTGTTGTGTTTTCAGGCTTCACCCAGGATTAAAAACGTGTGTGTGTGTGTGTGTGTGTGTGTGTGTGTGTGTGTGTGTGTGTGTGTGTGTGTGTGTGTGTGGTCTACTGATGAGTATTAATGTTCTCTCCACAGTTTACTGAAAGTTTTGATATACTCGTTAACATGTCATGGTTAGCATCTGGGTTCCTATGTGGACTCAAAAGCTTTTTTAATTTATGACCCATAAATCTTTTACAAAGTTGAATGCTAAAATGATAAAAGGAAGTGGCATAGTATCCCAGGCCTGTAAACCTAGTGCTTGGAGTCAAACCTGTATGCTTCAAAGGCCTTATCCCAGTTTTTTATAGACAGAGGCAAAAGGATCAGAAGTTCAAGGTCACCCTTAGTTACAGTATAGCCTGGGATGCACATGAGACCTTACCTTTAGAAAAGAAAAAGAAGTAATGAAATAAACGAGGAGCTGCAGAGAAACAAGTGCTGAACCTTTACTTACCAGTGTGTCATTTCCTGAATGCTTTCTAGAACTAGCCAACATTGACAGGATCTTATGAGATTATCTTTTTTTTTTTGATGCTTTGAATTAAATATTCTTCTGTTCTCTTGCTTATTAGTCCAAGAATGAAACCTCCCTTCCTATCCCTGAAAGACTCTAAAGTTACTTTAAAGGTTGTCTTTTTCTTTTGTTATTTTAAATGGCCAGCAATAAAATATTACCTTGTGATTTCTGCCCAAAAGCCCAGCTTTCTACTTCTTTGTTTACCCTTTCTGCTTTGTTACTTGCTTTTCTCAGCCTCTTTAATTCTTGCAACCCAACTATCAAATCTTCAAATACAACCTTTTTTTCTCTTAGAGCTTCTGTAGAAAACAGAATGAAGATACATGGGGGAGGGCCTAGGTCCTGCCCCAAATGATGTGATAGACTTTGATGATCCCCCATGGGAGGCCTCACCCTTCCTGAGGAATGGATGGGGGTGGGATGGGGGGATAGAGGGGGGAGCGTGAGGTCAGGAGGGAGAAGGAGCTGAGATTGATATGTAAAATAAGATTGTTTTAAATTTAAATAAAAATTAATTTTAAAAAATTGTAAAAAAGAAAACAGAATAAAAAATGCCTTCCTAGTGTTTGAAAAGCTGTGCGTATTTCATAATAAGAATAATTTTTTTAATTTACTTTTTAAGATTATAATTACAGGGGTTAAGAACACTGGCCGCCCTTCCAGAAATCCTGAGTTCAATTCCCAGCAACCGCATGGTGGCTCACAACCATCTATAATGAGGTCTGGTGCCCTCTTCTGGCTTTCAGGCAGAACAGTGTATACATAATAAATAAATCTTAAACAGATTATGATTACAGCATTTCTCGCTGCCCTTTCTTCCTTCCAACTCCTCCACATACCCCTCCTTGCTCTCTTCCAAACTCAGTTTTTTCGTTTTTTCTTTTTTTGAGACAGGGTTTCTCTGTATTGTTTTGGAGGCTGTCCTGGAACTCGCTCTGTAGACCAGACTGGCCTCGAACTCACAGAGATCCGCCTGCCTCTGCCTCCCGAGTGCTGGGATTAAAGGCATGTGCCACCACCGCCTGGCCCAAACTCAGTTTTTTCATTAATTGTTATTGCATGCCTATATGTATATGTATACACATTTCTAAATAAACTTGCTTGGTCCATATTATTAATGTTACTTGTATGTATTCAGGGCTGACCATTTGATATTGGATAACCAATTAATATGTTTTTCCCTGGGGAAGACTTTATCCTGAAAGACTAGTTTTTTAAAAATGACTTTTAAGCTGTCATGGTGGCGTGTGCACGCCTTTTGAATCCTAGTAGCACTGGGGAGGCAGAGTCAGGTGGATCTCTGTGAGTTTGAGGCCATCCTGGTAGAGTGAGTTCCAGGACAACCAGGGGTATTACACAGAGAAACCCTGTCTCAAAAAGACAAAAACCCTGTTTAAAAAGACCAAAAAAAAAAAAAAAAAAGACTTTTATTTATCACTTGTCTGACTAATAAGCTGACTCATCTCCTGAGAAGCATTTGTTCCTCTTTTTTGTTTTCATAAATTTTAAGTTAATACTTGGCTAATGTACAAAGAATTGGGTCTCATTTTGGTATTTTCATAAGTTAATTACAGAATGTAACAGGCTCTGGGATAACACTTTATTCTAGCTATAGGTGACTAAAGATATTACTGCAGGGAATTCAGATGTTTAAATAGGAATGGAAAGGGCTCACCATCAGCTCAGTTACAAGGGACAGTTTACTTTTTGCCAGATTTTATAATCCTACCTCTGACATAGGGGTCCTTCCCCATGGCCTTGGTTTTTAGCTTCCTGAGATTCTTCTGCTACTCTTTATCTCTGCCTGAAGCCTTGTCTCCCTCATCGTGTCTTTGGCCTGCTCTGACTGTTCCAGGTGCTTCTTTTTGCCATCTTCTTGGTCCTGTTATCCTTTCCCTGAAGCCTGATCCCCACGTACGTACGTACGTATGTACGTATGTATGTATGATGTATTTATATATGTATTGTTATTCTCTTTATGTTTTTTCCCTCATCTCAAATAATTCCCCCTTTTGTTTTTATGACACAGATGTTTCATTTCCTTTTCTCATTTCACCTTAGTCCTCCTCTCATAGTCCTCTTTCTATTGGTGTGGTCTTGTGAGTGTAAGGGCACCCCTTCCTCTTATTGTAGCCTTCATATCAGAGAAAACATTTGATATTTGTCTATCAGAGTCTGGCTTAGTTTGCTTAGTATAATGATTTCCAAGTCTATCCATTTTTCTGAGGTTGTCACACTTTCATTCTTCCTTATGGCCAGATAAGTTTTTTCTAAATTTGTTTGGGTACCATATTTTTGTCACTTACTCATATGTTGATGAATGTCCAGATTGGTTCTATATTTTGGCTACTGTGAATAGTGTATCATTGATCACAGATACCACGGATATACTAGAGTCTTACTTATCACCTAATGCCGCGACAGGAAGGATTTCTTACTGAACTGGAATACTATCTCTTTGACTGTCTTAGCCAGCAATTTCTTGGGAGCCCTCTGTCTGTCCCTAACAGTGCTGCCTACAAACGAAAGTTTTTTGTCCTGCTCTGTCCTGTAGCCTTTTCCAAATAATTACTTAGAGGCTTATGTTATTAATGCTCAATCAAAAGCTCAGGCTTATTACTAGCTCTCACATTTAAATTAACCAGTATTTCTCTCTGTTTTGCCAGGTGGCTCAAGGCTTGTTACCTCATTATCTGCACACCTGCTTGTTCAGCCGTTGGCTGGCATCTCTCTTGACTTCCCCCGCTCCTCATCTGAGTTCTCAGTTTGATTGTTCTGCCTAACCTTAACATGTCTGGCTATTGGCTGAATAGCTTTCATTATTAACCAATTAGAGGAATACATAAAGTATACAGAAAGATCATCCCATAGCATCTGGCAATGTTGGTGTGGGGATTTGAACTCAGATCTCCATGCTAGTAGAGCAAGCTGTTTCACTACCCAGTTCCTCAAAACCAATTTATTTTTTTGTTGTTGTTGTTTGTTTTTTGAGGAAGGCTATCTTGTAACTTGTTCTGTAGATCAGACTGGCCTTGAACTTGCAGAGATCCACCTTTATGTCCACATACAGCATTTATAGTATTGCTAGGAACGGTTCTGATATTTAAGTTACATCCAGTAATAAAGTACTTGATTTTTTTTTTCTTATTCAAAACAGGGTTTGTCTGTGTAGCTCAGAATGGCTTGAACTCACAGAGATCTGCCTGCCTCTGCCTTAGTGCTGGAATTAAAGGCGTGCACCACCTAGCTAATAATCTTTTGTTTTGTTTGATATGGTTTTATGTAGTCCTGGCTGGCCTAGAGCTCACAGATACCGGGATTAAAGGTGTATACAATCATGACCAGCCTCTATAATACTTGATAGCTTTTTTTTAAAAATTAGTTTATTTTTTATTTTATGTGCTTTGGTGTTTTGGCTGCATGTGTGTCTATGTGAGAAGAGGGGGTACCTTGGAACTGGAGTTATAGATAGTTGTAAGCTGCTATGTGGGTGCTGGGAATTGAACTTGGGTCCTTTGGAAGAGCAGCCAGTGCTCTTCACCCCTAAGCTTTCTCCAGCCCCAGTACTTGATAGCTTTTAATAAGTATTTGGAATCTTTCTCTAGTGTAATTATTTATGTAAGCTTCTGCTAACTTCTGTTTGTGTTTCTTTTCCATTACAAAATTACTGGGATATATGTTCAAAGTCAATAGAGATGTTTGAACGCAGTAATTACACCATAGAAAATTAGCCTGTTTTGATGTACTATTTTGCAGGATGTAATTAATACTTTATTGCCTAAAGTTTTAACTCGAATAATCGAAGGACTCCAGGACCTTGATGATGATGTCAGAGCTGTTGCTGCAGCATCCTTAGTGCCTGTAGTAGAAAGCCTGGTGTACCTTCAGACACAAAAGGTATATTAAGTTTTTCAGCATTTTCTTCCTATGGTACATGTTTACATTTGGTATGGAATAGTAGAAAAAACATTGAGTTCTTGTTATTTTATCTCCTACACCTTTTATAAAAATTCTCTTGTCTCTAATATTCCTCTGATGCATGCAAGCTTGATTATGTGTTGTGTATTGATTGGTACACAATATACAGAAGTTCCTTGAAAAAGAAACAGCTATTTCATCTTAAATTCTCTCCTTATGTTTAAAGATGTTAAATTTTAATTTTGATTTTATTTCTTAGGATTTTAACCTGATCTCATTGTTAAGAGACTATTAAATATTAGCTACATATGATGTTAAAAGCATTATTTTATGAGCTCAAAAACTAAACTTGTATTTTCATGATTGTTTATATAACTTAAATTCCCTGAAGTTACCCTGCCCAGTAAAACTCTTCTTAGAGAGAAAATCATAAGAGTGGAACGGTGTTGAAAAGAGGGTAGAGAATTGTTAATGGCAAGTAGTGTCTTTTCCTTGATGATACTTAAAGGTGACATTTTCCAAATTCATTGGAATTATATATTTGGCTGACTCGTTAGTGACCCTTTGGATATAATTTGGTAGGATTTATGAATTTGTTTTGTGTGTAAGTGATAACTTTTCTTAAAATTTGATATTACAGGTACCCTCTATTATAAATACTTTATGGGATTCTCTCCTGGAATTAGATGATCTAACAGCTTCAACAAATAGTATTATGACTCTTCTTTCATCCATGTTAACTTACCCTGAGGTCCAGCAATGCAGGTAATTATTTCTTATTAGTGCGATAGAATAGTAAGTGTTTATATATATCTTTACAGTAGATTAAATTTAGACTATTCTAACACCTTTAAGAACAATATTGTATATTGAGGGTACCACTATCCCTCAGGAAGTTTTTTCCTTCTTCTAGCTACTAGAACTTTGAGACAAGAAAGATTATTTTAGTGGGAGATTGCCTAACGTAAAAAGCCCCAAGTTCTAGCACTGCACTCACACAAGTAAAGAAACCTAGAATAGTTGTTTTCCTTACCTTGGCTATTAGTTTATAGTTCATTAGCTTATGGATCTAAAGTAGATATTTTAAATTAATTTATTTTAAAAACAGCCATTTTGCTGGGTGGTGGTGGCGTTTAAGGCCAGCACTTGGGAGGCAGAGGCAGGTGGATCTCTGAGTTCCAGGCCAACCTGGCCTACAAAGCGAGTTCCAAAATAGCCAGAGACACCCTACCTTAAAAAACAACAAAAAAACAAAACAAAAAGCAAATAAAAAAACAAACAAAAAATCAAAACAAAAAACAGTCATCTTAGATCCTGGTGATGGGGGCACATGCCTTTTTTTTTTTTTTTTTTTTTTTTCTTTTCAAGCACTTACTTTTTTGATATGAATGTTTACCGGCATATATACATTCATATATGTGGAAGTGTGTGTGTGTGTGTGTGTGTGTGTGTGTATGTGTGTGTGTAGGATGTATATTTATGGGTATTATGTATGTGTGAATGTATTGTGTATGTGTGTGTGTGTTTGTATGATGTATGTATGTATAATGTATGGTGTATGTATGTATCCACTGAGCTAGTTCTGTAGCCTGTAAACTCCCATTGCCACGATTCTAGTCCATGCTCTTCTCACCGGTTCTCTCAAAGCGGCAGCAGACACGACCTTGCAGTTTCAGTCCTGTGTTCCCTGTAGAGACACATGTGTAGGCAACATGCCTGTGCACATGAAATAAAAATAAATAAGTTTAAAAAATAACCACAGCTGGATTAAATACACTCATAGATACATATACACATACATGCATGCACATATATACACACATGTGCAGGGAACATATTAATACTAAAAAATGGCTTTACACACACAGAGACATATATACACAGGTACACACATGTACACATACATGCAGGGAAAACAGCAATGCACATGAAATAAAAATAAATAAACTAAAAAAACAAAAACAGAAACAAAAAGACCATGGAGTGGCCAGCTGTGCAATGCTATTCTGGGCAGGTACTGATACACATGACCTGGGAAGTCTCGGTGCCTGCACACATGTGATCATGTGAGCACCAGGAGGGCACAGCCCTGACCTCAGGTCACACAGGGTCTCTGACGTAGCACAGACTATAACGGGACACACATAATCTGGGTGTCACACACCTTTTATTCCAGCGCTCGGGAGGCAGAGGCAGGCTGTTCTCTCTGAGTTCCAGGCCAGCCTGGTCTACAAAGTGAGCTCCAGGACAGATAGGGCTGTTACAGAGAAATCCTGTTTACAGCAACCAACCAACCAAACAAAAAAAGTCAGTTATTTCTAGTGATGGCCCAGAATGTATATTTTTAAAATTTAATATGCCAGAACAATGTTATTGTTACTACTAACAGTATTCACAAAAAATGCAGAAGAAATGTTATACAGCTTTTTAAAAATTCACAAACAGGGAAGTTACTGTTCTTACTCTAGTGAGTTTATTTAGTGAAAGTTCCTATGATTATGATTTTTAAAGCAACTTCTAGCTGTATGAATGAATATTTCAGTGAAATTCAAAGTATGTTTTTCCATACTTCCATATATTACCAACTAGTAGTAGTTAGTGCAGAATCCAGGCTGGCAGAACGACATGCAAGTGAGTTCCCATGGAAGCTGCATCAGAAGACAGCAGCTGACAGTGGTAGTCACATGTGGCCTTTTCCACTCTTGACAGCTTCTGTGACTAATACAATACAAAGGGATTAAGTGAGTTCATGCAACAACTCTCCCAAAGCTTTAAAGTCATCGGTTTTAAATTACTTTAAACCAGAACTTAAGTAAATCTCTTTGAAGGGTTAAATACTGAACATTTTTAGTTGTGAGCCAGTCTTAGCTGAAACTATACTGCTTTGTTACTGTAATCAGAAAACTGCCAGTATACAATACATAGAGGATGTGTTCCAGTAAGACTTTCACTTAAAAAAAAAAAAAAGTCTGTAGATGTAGCCTGTAGACCTTAGCAGGTGGTACCAAGAAAACTAAATAATGTAGGTTTGGCGAGATCTCAGCAGTAAGAGCACTGGTTGTTCTTCCAGAGGACCCAGGCTCAATTGCTGACACCCACATGCATACATTAGGGCTCACAGCTATCTGTAACTTTAGCTCCAGGGCTTCCAGTGCTCTCTCTCCTTTGGTCTCCATACATGGAGGCAGAACACCCATACACATACAAAAAAAAAATTCAAAAACTGTGGATAATATAAGAAACTTGTACAATATAATAAGATTTCTGATAATCCAATGTGAAATAATGTAGTTTTCCACCTTTTTTATTTCAAAATTGGTCTTATTAGAAAAATTGCACAATACGCTGTGGTAATTGGCAGATACTTTCTAGCTTACAAGAAGAATTGCCACATGTCACTATTAACAAGTCTGTGTTATGCTTTTATGTGCTGTGAATCACTCATGTCTGCGTGAGTGTGTATTTAAATTGTAACTTTAAAAATAAGTGCAAGAAGTAAAGTTCAGGCATACTTGCAAAGGATGAAAATAGCATTAAAGGGATCCTGTGAGGGAGGCATAGCAGGTGACAGATGGTGGTGTTGATACTGCCATGTCCTTTTTTTGTTCCTACTTTTTTTCTTTTAAGGGATGTAGTTCAAATGCTACTTAAGAATTACTTCCTCATTTGAGGTACCTTTTAGAAATGATTCCTGAATGTGGCAGAAATGCTATGATTCGAGTTAGCCTAGTTCCTCCATTTAAAATCTTCTCCATGAAGGAAGAAATGTGAGTCTTCCTAATCTAGAAATTAAGCCAGGATAACAAATTTCAAAACTAGTATTATCTTTTAATCTCTTGCTCATTTGAGTCCTGCAGGAGGAATAGAAATTATGAGTAGCTAGTTATACATTAAGGTTAGCCCTTGGAATGGAAAGTAGTTATGGGAACCTGGTTGTGTAGCTAGGATATATTTTTTTTCTTCCCATTTTCTGGGAAGAACAAAGTTATGATTGCAGATATATTGGAAAGTTCTAACTTGATGATGGTAAATAAAGCATTAATGTCTTAGAGAAACCTATTATTAAATCTCTAGCCTTTATTGGCTGCATTTTCTCTATCTTTTGGTATTACAATAACATTTCTGAATGAATGTTAAGTGAATATTCATGAAAATTGGATCTTTTATTTATGAAAGAGCCATGTCATCATCACCAGGTTCATACAGCATTTATGTTAGATATCATACTTATGGAGTTCAACTGAGAATGAGTAAGATTAATTTGTGTTTTCTTTGTTAGTATTCAGCAGTCACTCACAGTTTTAGTTCCACGTGTTTGGCCATTTTTGCATCACACTATATCTTCAGTTCGAAGAGCAGCATTGGAAACTCTCTTTACATTGTTATCAACACAGGACCAGGTAAGAACGGATAATTGTAAATCGCAACCTCAAAACTTTTGTAAATTAATTTTATAAAACAGATCTGATCATTGTCGCATCTTTACTATATATCAAAAAATCAGGATGCTTGGGCATAGTAGGTGTGTGGTAACCATATAAACATAAACCTATCAATATGAGGTCAGAAGTATTTTAGAATTTTGTTTTAGTTTTATATTCTCAGAACTTGGAGTAATACTTAATACATAGGAGATAATCAATAAATATTTGTTAAGTGAATTATTAAGTATTTACTTCTTTAGGAGGCATGTTAGTCTTTATTTATGGTTGCTGGGTGATTGGCAAAAATCATCCCAGGTTATAAAGGTTGCATTTGAAACACTGAAGTAAAATTCCTTGAAGACTGACTATGGTATTCAAATTGTCTTCCCTTAAAAATTATTGTCAAAGAGCATGTGCTTCCAAGGATCATGTAATTCATCAGTCACATACGGAGATTCCTACAGAGTTCACTCAGGTCATATTAGTGTATGAGTGGTGAGCTGATGAGTCCTGTTTACATTCCTAGTTTTGAAATAATTCTGGGCATTGAAGAAAATATGTCAGAATACCAATAAAGTGTTAAGTGTTTGAGTCAAATCGCTTTTTTTTTGTCTGTTTGGGTTTTTTTTGTTTGTTGTATTTTGTTGTTGTTGTTTTGTTTTTTTTTTTTGAGACAGGGTTTTACTGTGTAGCCTTGACTGGCCTGGTACTTCTTAATGTTAACCAGACTGGGCTCCAGCTAGCAGACATTTGCCTGCCTTTGCCTCATTAGGTTTATTTTTATGTGCATGCCTGGTGTCCTACGAGGTGGATGCCGGGAATCAAATGCAGGTCCTTTGCAACAACTGCTTTTTGTTTTTTGTTTTTTTTCTTTTTTGGTTTTATGAGACAGGGTTTCTCTGTATTGTTTTGGAGGCTGTCAGTCCAGCCTGGCCTCGAACTCACAGAGATCCTCCTGCCACTGCCTCCCGAGTGCTGGGATCAAAGGCGTACGCCACCACTGCCCGGCTGCAACAACTGCTTTTAACTGCTGAGCGCTCCAGCTCCCATGTTCTCTGCTTCTTGACTGGTGTGATGTGACTAGCTGCTCCAGGCTCTTGCTGGCTTGGCTTCTTCCCTGCCATGGGGGAACTGTCCCTTCAACTGTGGGCTCAAATATATTCGCCCTTAAGTTTCTCTGCCAGAGGATTTTTATTACAGCAACAGTAAAAGAAACTAAGACACTTAATTTTGTTTTTAAACATGGTCACCTTTTACCCAGATGGTTGTGGCGCATGCCTTTAATCCCAGCACTAGGGAGGCAGAGGCATGTGGAATTCCAGGACAGGCTCCACAGCTACACAGAGAAACTCTGTCTCAAAGAACCAAAACCAAACCAAAACAAAGAATAACCACCCCCCCAACACAATAACAAAAAAATCAAAACAAAATCTCCCAAAACATGTCTTTTTTTTTTTTTTTAAAGAATTGATCTTGCTGTGTAGTCCAGTGTGGCCCTCAACTTATTTGCCTTAGTTTCCCTAGTGTTTGGATTAGAAGTATGCATCACCGCTCCCAGCATACCTATTTTTCCAATTTATGTACTTTCTTCTGTTTACATATTTATAAAATTATTATCTTCCTATCCCTGGAAGAATTCAAGTTACCCGTTAGAACAGTTTGGAAGCACTTAAAAGGTAGAGACAGGTGGATCTCTGAGTTCAGTGCCAGCCTGGTCTACAGAGTGAGTTCTAGGACAACCAGGGCTTCACAGGCAGAAGCTCTGTCAAAACAAAACAAAACACAACACAACAGTTGGGGAACTGTAACCTTGGTTATTTTCAACTGTTCAGTAGCTTGTTCTTGTCTGCTATCGTAAACCTCTGCATTTATCTTGATATCTGGCTTGCATCAAGCTGATGTTACTCTGTTTCCTTATTTACCCCAGAGTTGACAGCATTTCTCAGTCTGCCCTTGTTATCCAACTATAACCATGTGTACTTAATCAGGGTATCTATGCATATGGCATACCCCTTCTACAAATTTACAGACACACATGCATGAATACATGACTCACCCAAATCTTTTTCTAAATGTGAGCTCTCTTCCTGTTTATCTTCAGGGTACTCGTTTCCTTTAGGGAACAGGACAGATCTTCAGTGTCTCTAAACTATTTTAATTCTGTAACTTTCTTAGTCTCTCTCTCTCTCCCTCTCCCCCTCCCCCTCCCTCCATCCCCCCCCCCCCCATAGGTCAGAGGACAGCTTTCTATGTCTGTCATTGCTTGGGCTCCATCTTTTACCTTTTTGATTTGAGACAGGGCTCACACTGGCCTGGCATTTTGCAAATCTGCCTGCTTTTGCCTCTCTCGTTACCCTATTTTGTTTTTATTTTTATTTTTATGTGTATGTATGAGTACTTGCATCATTTATGTGTGCCCCTGAGGCCAGAAGAGGGTGTCAGATCCCTGGAGCTGCAAGTGCAGTAAATGCTCTTAACCACTGTGTATCTCCCCAGCCCTAGATTTTTGTTTTTGTTCTTTTTCCTTCCCTTTTTACCTGTTTTAAAGATGTGGGTTCTGGTATTAAACTCTGGTTTTTGTGCTTACAAGATAAGCATTTCACTCACTGAGCTCTCTCCCAACTCATCTGATTTTTGTTTTACATTCATTCATTATCTATTTGTATATGTATGAATGACTGGCATACACGTGGAGGTTAGAGGGAAACTTGTAGGGGTTAATGCTCTCCTTCTTCCAGATTTTGTAGATTAAATTCAGGTCATCAAGCACATTTACCTGCTAAATTACCTTTCAGCAACCCCATTTAAATCTGAACTGTTGTTTGGACAAAACTATTATGTAGTGAAAACTTTATTATAAATCTGGTCCCAGTAACATCTAAAGAACCCTTGGAGTTCCTCATCTGATGCTTTTTTTTTATTGCCTTCACAGATTATCAGGTAATAATAATAATAATAATAATTTATAGTTCTGCGTAAAATCTTTACTATTATAATTCCATGATCCAGGGCTGGAGAGATGGCTCAGCAGTTAAGAGCACTGGTTGTTCTTCCAGAGGTCCTGAGTTCAATTCCCAGCAACCACATGGTGGCTCACAACCACCTGTAATGAGATCTGGTGCCCTCTTCTGGCCTGCAGGGATACATACAGGCAGAACACTGTACACATAATAAATCTTTAAAAAAATAATAATTCCATGATCCCTTACCTGAATTTTTAAAAAATTTTCTCTCTTGAAGCTTTGAAGTTCAAAGCTTTTTGTAAGTTTTGTCAACTAACAAAATTACTTATTTGGTGGCAGACCCTTCTGAAAAGCTATTTATAGTCTTTCTCCCATGCATGTGCCTATTATAAAATAACATTTTATTCCAAGTGTGGCCTCAGACTGTATAAGGGCTTACATAATGTACAGTGTATACAGCTTTTTTATTTTCCTAAAATTAGAAATATTCTGAGCACATTTGGCTCCAAGATATTTGATGTGACAATAAAGCCTACACTTATTTTTTAATTCTTTTCTCTCATCTGCTTCCCCTGTCCTTGTACCTGTGGCAGCATTAGGTATTGGTCAGGATTCTTAGCATGGTAACAGACAGAACATAAGGAGCAATGGATCTTCAAAACCATTTGAAGAACTTTAGAATATGGCATTTAAAATGGTTTAGGGTTTTTCATGACTATGAGACACAACTGCTCCTGCAATACCAATTACGTCAGAAAGGAAAATGGGAATCAAAGAAACTTGTGGAGTGTGCCTTCAACATAGCAGAAACAGCCATTTGGGCAAGAAGATGCACTTGCCTGGGCTGTTTGACTGTTGAACATGCCAAAATAAGATGGGACAGACCTTCAGGTTCCTGCTTCATGAAGAGTCTGCCAGACATTCTGCAGGATATAGAGAAAAATGTCTCTATATGTGTCTCTGTATATCTAGAAAACCTAACATGATTATAAGTTTTAACTATCATGGGTGACTATAATCTGTATTTAATTATACATTACATTTTCAAATGAGCTGTGTAAACACAATACCTAAACAAGAGGAGAAATATGCATATAATAACAAAATTGACCTTAAAGTAGTATCAATAAACCAAAATCCATACCAATGCAAAGTATTCATGTCTATACCATATGCCCCTTTTTTCCTTTAAAAAGACATTGGATGTGATCATTAGCCATTTACAACTAACCTCATTTAAATGAAAACATTTATAAATAATTGGGAATTTGGACATCGTTCTCTCCAAGCTAAGTCTTATTCTGATGAAGCCATTCAGTCTTTTCATGACAATGTTTGTGTTATTTGATTGTTAGTTCATGTAAGCTAATGTCTAGGAACTGCATGTCATATGTTTGATTCTGTTTTTGTTCTCAGAACTCTTCATCTTGGCTTATACCAATCCTGTCTGATATGCTGCGACATATTTTTCAGTTTTGTGTTTTAGAAAGCAGCCAGGAAATTCTGGATCTTATTCACAAGGTACATGATGAGTCTGACTGTATTTCTTGTCCTAATAAATATGTAGATATAATTAAAATATAATTACTATGCTATTGGTGAGGGTTTCTAATGAATTAAGGTATTTGAGGAGTTGGGGGTTGTTGGCGCATGCCTTTAATCCCAGCATTGGGGAGACATAGGCAGGCTGATCTCTGTGAGTTCAAGGCCAGCCTGGTCTACAGAGCAAGTTCCAGAACAGACTTCAAAGCAATACAGAGAAACTCTGTCTTGAAAAACAAAACAAACAAAAGATATTTGAAAAGTCCAGTAATCTACAAGATGATCCAGGAAACTAGGTTTCTTATGGACTAGAATATAAGTTCAGTTTAGTTATGTTTCTTTGTTTTTTTTCTTTTTATATATCCTAATGCTTTGTTTTTTAAAAAGATTTTATTTTCACTCCCTAGGTTTGGATGGAACTGTTGAGCAAAGCTTCAGTTCAGTATGTGGTGGCAGCTGCTTGTCCATGGATGGGTGCCTGGCTTTGCTTAATGATGCAGCCTTCTCATTTACCTATTGATTTAAATATGTTGCTAGAAGTAAAAGCAAAAGCCAAAGTAAGTATAGAGAAACATAAGGTATTTCTATGTTCAATTTATTATTACCAATATAGTAACTGTTTGAGAAACTTGTATTTATTGTTTAATTCTGAGGGTGCCTTCATCAACATTAGGCAGTATCAATTCTTTATCCAGACTCTGACAAACTAGATAGTAATTATTATACCTTAGAATTTTATGAAAAGAACTACATTTCCTTCTTGTTTTTCCTCTAGGAAAAAACAGGTGGTAAGGTACGGCAAGGCCAAATTCAGAATAAAGAAGTGCTTCAAGAGTACATTGCAGGTGCAGACACCATCATGGAAGACTCAGCTACCAGGGATTTTGTAGTTATGAGGGCCAGGATGATGGCAGCTAAGTGAGTATTCATTTATCAAATGTCAAGTATCATAGATTGAAAGTTTTGGCTAATAGGTATAAAATTTAACCAAAAGATTTCTTTTTCTGTGTCTGTCAGTTGTTCTTTATACTAGTTATCTAAGAAAAAAATCAAGTAAATATTTTTAAGTTTTTGAAGTTTTAAAAATAGATGGCTGGGTGGTGGCACACACCTTTAATTCCAGCACTCGGGAGACAGAGAGAGGTAAGTGGATCTCTGTGAGTTCGAAGTCAGCCTGGTCTACAAAGAGAGTTCCAGAAGATCCAGGGCTGGTACTCAGAGAAATTCTGTCCTCTAAAAAAAAATGATAATTTGGGGTTGGAGGTGAACTTCAGTTAGTAGAATTTTTGTGTAGCATGTCCAAGTCTCTGGATTTGACCCCAGACACTACATAGCAGTGTGGTAGTACACATCTGCAATATCACTTGAGAGAGGCCTAGGAGTTCAAAGTCATCCTCAGTGACATAGAGAGTTTAGGGCCAACATGGCATATGTTGACCCTGTATCAAAGACAAAAACAAACTACTTCGTGTCTATTCATGAAAATAAGGTAGAAGATAATTTAAAGTTATTATGGGGAAATTTATGACTTTAGTAAGAGAAGTTTTTCCTCAAGTAAAATTTATAGTATGGTCTCTCTCTTTTAGGTTGTTAGGAGCACTTTGCTGCTGTATTTGTGATCCAAGTGTAAACATGGTAAACCAAGAAATTAAACCAGCAGAATCCCTTGGCCAGTTACTACTATTCCACTTGAACTCCAAATCTGCTTTACAGAGAATTAGTGTTTCATTAGTAATCTGTGAATGGGCTGCTTTACAAAAGGTAAGGTATATTCCTAAAGTAATAAAGGCAAATTTAGTAAAACCAACTTCCATTAGCATTTAGGACTATTTACAACTTACTTTTTCTTTATAGAAATCTAGTAGTTATGGGAAAGTATTCCATATAATATTGAACATTATTTGTTTTTCATTTACTTTTAACCTGTGTTTTTTTAGCACCCCATTCATATCTGATACTAAATTGTGCTCATATTCAGTATCTGTTCATCCTGACAGTCTGTTATAAAGCTCCATGTTAAAGACTTGTGTGTATAGAAAGATGCAAGCCAGAACCTGAATGTGTAATCCCGTTTTGGAGCTCTATTTATATAGATAGTGACAAAGGTAGAAGTTTGGTCGTCACAAGAAAAAGAGATCTCTACATTTAAACTCAAATTTTTATTTCCAAATGAAGCAAATTCCCTTCTACCCTTTTTAACTTTAAGCTTCTGTAAGATGTATGATTTTATGTAAGACCTGTTTCTGTAAGTCAAAGAAACTTCCTGCTGGTTTTGTTTATTCCGTTGACTGGAATTCTGGAAATTTAACTGTCTGCACTTGCTGCGAGAGTGGCTTGTTACTGCCTCTTAGCAGTTTGTCAAAGCTTTGTCTAAAAGTTATTGAACCATGCTTTATTGCAACAGAGACTCCTCTGGAAAGAAGCAGAGCTTATCTGTTTTGTTGTCAGGACCCCATGTGCTGGAGAGGCAGTGATGCTGTGTTTTTGTGCCTCTCAGACTCAGCAGCAAGTGTTGACAGTTCGGTTTCTGGACCCTCACAGAGCTTCTCTGGATTTACTCTGTGAAGCCCAGGCTGATCACCCAGATCCCACAGAGCCCCTCATGGCTACCACTGAGGCCATTCCCCCTCTTGTTGGGGCAGGCAACAACCAGAGAGAGTGGGAAGGGTTAGTTAAATTTGGGGGCAGGTAAGTAGCTTTTAAATTATATCCATTTTTACAATGCAGCATGTGAAGCTGTGGTTGAACTGTTAAAGATATCTAATATCAAATTTTGAATAATATTTTTAGTGCATGCCAGATTGTTTCCTTGACTGGTTTTTATAGTAATATACTTCTAAAATGTCTGCTCTATTTATCTATTTATTTATATGCATACATATTTTGAATAAATTCAGTGTATACTAAGAATAATTAGGTTGAAAATTAAACACAGTTATAGTAGTTACATGTGCATGTCTGTAGTCATTCACATTAAACTTTCAGAGTAGTTTTGATGTAATACTTTTTCTTTGTGTAACTAACTATTCTGGAAATCAGTGGCAATGTAGCATTTGGTTGTCTGAAGTCAAGATTTAAACATCTCTACTGTTATGTTTCTATATGTTCCCTAAATTTGTTATCTGTTGTATTTTAGGAGTGTAAAGCTGTTACCCTAGCTGTGCAGCCACGTTTACTTGATATCCTTTCAGAACATTTGTATTATGATGAAATTGCTGTTCCATTCACACGAATGCAGAATGAATGTAAACAGTTCATATCATCATTAGCTGATGCAAATATTGAAGTGGGTAATAGAATAAACAACAATGTTTTAACAATAGATCAAGCTAATGACCTGGTGAGTAAAGAAGTAACTTTCTTAATTTTACAACATGAAATAAAGATTAGAATTTTGCCATGATGTGTTACCATAGAAACATACTAGTATGTTAAATCTTTTTGTGGTATGGTATCATGTCATCCTGTTCTTTAGAAAGATTATTTCATTGTACTGAATTTCTTGAAATTAAAGGACAGAGAACTAGTTAATACATCTTGCTGATAAACTTGTAAAGTTTTGTCACTTATCGGTGTATCATAAGATTTTGGTAAATGGGAAAAACTGCTTCTGTGGCTTCTTGAGTATTTCTCTTCTTGGTGTAAAATAAAAATATTGAAACATATAGAAGCAAAAGTGTTATACAAAACTACTCATGTACTCAGCATTTAGAATAGCAACACTCATACCCAGTGGTTAGATTTTGCAGTTAATATTTTTCCAAGTTCTTTACATCACATATGTACTTAAATATCTCCCATCTTTCCAGCCACCAATTCATCGGGTGTTTTCCTAACATTTCTTAGTAAATTCAGGTATTTGTACATGTTAGATGAAGGCACAAATCTAAAGTGGACCAATTTATGGATTTTTCACAGATACATAAATAAGCCAGATACAAATGCAATCAAGATAGAGAACAGCACAGCACTTTTACTGTTTCCAAGCCTATCCTTTCCTCTCCTTCCTTCCAAATAACCATTAGTCTCATCTTCTGTTACTAATTTATGTGCTCATTCATTAATTCTATATTAATGGTGCCATACACTGTTCTGTTTGGCATGAGGATTCTGGGGCATGGGATTTTTGAATTCGTTATGTTATATAAATTATTACATTGCTGCATTTACAGCTAGTGCCAGCTGTTTGCCTCCTATAATCTTTTTTAAAAATTATGTTTAAAGTTATTTTTTGTAAATATTTGGACATATAGTTCCATTTTTCTTAGATAAATATAGTAGCATTGCTGAGCTGTAAGTGATGATGTTTGGCTGTATTTATTTACAGATTTAAGTGTTATTTGCATTTTATATGCACTGGTGTTTTGTCTGCAGCTGTGATTTTTCTACATCATCATCAGTGTTTGCTCACTCAGCCTGTTATTGAAGTCTTCATTGGTTGTATAGTTGTGTCATTAATGCTTCAATTTACACATTTCCTTTATAAAGGATACATTATATACTTTTATACTTTGTTGGCTGTTTCATGCTTCTATTTCTAAAGATGAGTCTTTTGCTCATTTTTAATTAAGTTGTCAGGTTGCTGTTGGGTTGTAAGGATACTCTCTGAACCCTAGATAGCCTTTGTTTACCCTAGATAGCCTTTGTTGAGTACATGCTTTCTGAGTATTCTCTTGTAATGTGTGGCTTACATCTTAATTTTCTTACTGCTGTCTTTGAAAATTGTAAAATCATTTTGTGCATGCCATAGTATGCATGTGAAAACTTTTGGTAGTTGGTGCTCTCCTTCCACTGTTACATGGGAAATTGAACCTGATTCTTCTGCAAGAGAAACAAATTCTAAATACTAAGCCCACTCTCCAGTCTCCAATCTTTTATGTTTAGGCCTTTTACTTGGATTATCTCATTGCCATTTTTAGATTAATTGACCTGAGATTTTTAGTAGAAAAAAGACCCTTGTATCCATACGTGGAAAGTTTGTCAGCATTTTCTTTTAGGAACACATGTGTTTATCCTTTATCCACTTTTTTTTATTATTATTACAGCCCAGTCAAAGGATTTCATACATTATGCATAGTTCCTGATTCTTCTCTAACCCTCTAGGCATTTCCTGGTCCATTTATCTTGTGTGCTGTGCTAGGTTAATATAGGCTTTTAGGGCCACTCTGTCACACCCATCTGCTTAAAAACATTATTTCTAGCCAGAAGTGTTGGCATGCATCTTTAACCCCAGCATTTGGGAGACTGAAGCAGAATGATCTCAAGTTCAAGGCCTGCCTGGGCTATGTAATAAGACTTATCTCAAACAGATGAACATGCATTATTTTCCTTCCTTTACAGTTTTTTTCATCACCTTGTATAACTTCCTTATTTCTCTGAGTTACTCTCCTCTCTTGAGTTAACTTGCTTCTTGTAATTCTCACTTCTGTGTCTGAACTCCTATTTCCTTTGCTAGAAGTTACCCACAATCCTCTATGCTCATTCAGAGTTCTTCTCTTGACCCTTCGTTTTTATCTTTGTGCTCAGCCATGATTAACTCTTTTCAGTTCTTTGGAAAATAACCTGGTTTTCACTTTCTCCTCACATTATCTTGAAGCAAAGACATACCAATAACCCATGAACCATTCTTTCAAAACTAGGTAGGATGTCCCATGCCTGTAATCCCAGATACTTGGGAGACTCGGTAGACTTGATTTGGGAGAACCCTTAAGTCTTAGAGTTTGAGACCATCTGGGTCAGTATAGTAAGACCTTGTCTTCCAAAATAACAATGCTGGGCATGTTGGCACCCACCTTTAACCTCAACAAAGGCAAGTGAATTTCTGAGTTAAAGGCCAACCTAGTCTCCATAATAAGTTCCAAGTCCATCTGGAGCTCCATAACCAGACCCAGTCTCAGACAGACAGACAGACAGACAGACAGACAGACAGACAGACAGAAAACAAATGCTTAAGATGCCAATGCCAAGTCTTCACTGATGTCTTCTGCCATACAAGTAAAGCAGTTCTTGGTCCTACCTCAATGAGATGATAGGACAGAATTAGTAGACTTCCTAGGAGAGGCCTTACCCTCTCCATGGAGCAGATGAGGGGGGGGTGCAGAAGGAGAGGATGGAGGGGGAACTGGGATTGGAATGTAAGAAATAAATTAATTAAAAAATACAGGGAAAAAGAAAGAGTAAAGTAGTTCTGTGGTTAGTTCCTTACTTATGTCTCCTACACTTGTCTCTAGTTTGGGGATTGGGGGCAGGGTGTTAGGACATTAAGTCTTACTGTTAGTTAATAAATATTAGTTAAATGACAGAATTAATTTGGGGTTATTTGAAAGCATTTCCTCAGTTATCATAGTCACTAAAGATTGACATAGAATAGTACTTAGGACAGTGTTTTCAAATTTTTAAGTGTAACAATTTCATGAAAGTCTTGGACAAGACAAAGTGGATAATGTAAGTTAGATACAGTGATTTCTGTTCTTTTGTGATGAGCAAATTGGCATGGTCATGTCAATTTAAAACCTTTTTAAAAACACTTTGTATTGATAAAAAGTAAGACAAAATTTCATTTTGTCTATTAGGAAATCAGTTATTCTAGCTCTTAAAAGGTAAGTTTGCCCGTGTTGGTGGCTCATGCCTTTAATCCCAGCACTCAGGAGGCAAAGGCAGGCGGGTCTCTGTGAGTTTGAGGCCAGCCTGGTCTACAGAGCAAGTTCCAGGACAGCCTCCAAACAATACAGAGAACCCTGTCTTCAAAAGCCAAAAAACAAAAACAAAAAAAAAGATCTTAGTAGGCTGTGGTGGCAAGTAACTACATTCTCAGCTATTCAGGAGGTTGTTTGCTTATTGTTTTTTGAGACAGTGTTTCTTTCTGTAGCCTTAGCTGTCCCAGAATTTGCTCTCTAGACCAGGCTGGCCTTGAACTTGAAGAGGTCTACCTGCTGCTGCCTTCCGAATGCTGGGATTAAAGGTGTGATTCCCCCAGTGCATGCTAGGATTAAAGGCGTGTGCCTGACCTATTTTTGTGTTATAAGCTGTTGCACAATCTTGATGTACATAAAATTTTAGAGCAACATTATTTATAATACTCAAAAGATAGGAAGAGCCCAAATATTAATCAACTGATGAATGGATAAATAAAATGTAGTATAGAAATATTATATATGAAAGTTAAAATATTGCTTGGCAGAAAATATCATCTATGATATCAACATAGATGAACCCGAAGAACATTACTTATGTTGGGATTTCATTCATATGAAAATAAACCCATTTGTATAAGAGGGAAATAGGTTCCTTGGGCAATGAGGAATGATTAGTAATAGATACGAGTTTTTCTTTTGGGATTTATGAGAATGTTTTCACTGTGGTGAGCCATAATTCTTAATAAAACCACTGAATTATTTACTTCAATGAGTTAATTCATGGTACAGGAATTACATCTTAATAAAGTTAAGATGATAAAGAACAGTCCTTTAGCCGGGCGGTGGTGGCGCATGCCTTTAATGCCAGCACTCGGGAGGCAGAGGCAGGCGGATCTCTGTGAGTTCGAGGCCGGGCTGGACTGATAGCCTCCAAAACAATACAGAGAAACCCTGTCTCGTAAAACCAAAAAAAAAAAAAAAAAAAAACCAAAACAAAACAAAAAAAAAACAGTCCTTTAATGAAGCTTATAAAGTAGTCTGTTACAGTAGTTTGGGCTTTCAACAGTGACTTCTGCATCTGTTGTCTTTTGTTTATGGAGTAGAGAAGTAGTTTCTGAATATATCGGTATTCCTCAGATTAACAGTTTGTATTTGTTTGTATCTTTCACATTTTATCAGTTAGGTGAAATTTGGTATAGTTAATGGTGATTTTATTTCTTTCAAGAGAATGTGTCTCTTCTTAAAGAAAGTAATGCTACTGTTAAGACAGACTAATTTATACTTTTGGAGCTATTTTAGACATTTATTTAACTTGTTAAATGTTAAAAAAATTGATACTATGGGGCTTTTGTAAGTAAAGGAGAAAACTGCCATTTAGGAGTTTAGAGTCTATCTGGGGTTGTTGTAATTAATGATTTTTCATTTTTCTTTTTTTTTTATTAGGTAACTACTGTTTTTAATGAAGTCACATCAACTTTTGATTTAAATCCTCAAGTGTTACAGCAGTTAGATAGTAAACGACATCAGGTCCAAATGGCAGTTGCAGAGACGAACCAAGAGTGGCAAGTGTTGCAGTTGAGAGTGCATACTTTTGCTGCATGTGCAGTTGTGAGCTTGCAGCAGCTTCCAGAGAAATTAAATCCTATCATAAAACCACTAATGGAAACAATTAAAAAAGAAGAGAATACGCTAGTACAGAACTATGCTGCCCAGTGCATAGCCAAGCTTCTTCAGCAGTGTACAACAAGGACACCATGTCCTAATCCAAAAGTTATTAAAAACCTCTGTAGCTCTCTTTGTGTGGACCCATACCTCACTCCCTGTGTAACATGTCCAGTACCAACACAAAGTGGCCAGGAAAATTCTAAAGGTATATATCTAAACTTCTTATTTGCATAGAGAAGGAATTTACCATTTAAGTTATTTTACCATTCGATTATAGGTATTATTTAAGCATAAATCCAGTTCCTTTTAGAACCATTTCGCCCACTTCTTATTCTCCATGAGCAAAGAGTGATTATAACAAAATTGTTGTGTCAGTCTGTGTACTTGCCAGTTAATCAGCCCTCTTATTTGCAAATGACCAGTCCATATAAGAAGTGATGTAAGTCAGCTGAAGTTTGTGTTCACTCTTCCTTAACCTGGGAAGTCATTATATGGCTTATTATTACTAGGTTAGAAAGCTAGTTGTATCAAATGTTAATAATTTTATTCCTTTATTTAGTGCTGTCTTGTGATTGTGAGTGAAGTCTGTTTGATAAATAATACCAAATAAACAAGTTTTCCTTCCTTCCTTCCTTCCTTCCTTCCTTCCTTCCTTCCTTCCTTCCTTCCTTCCTTCCTTTCTTCCTTCCTTCCTTCCTTCCTTCCTCTTTCCCTCCCTCCCTCCCTCCCTTCCTTTATTTTTAAATGGTTTTTTTCGAGACAGGGTTTCTCTGTGTAGCTTTGGAGCCTGTCCTGGAACTTGTTCTGTAGACCAGGCTGGCCTCGAACTCACAGAGATCTGCCTGCTTCTCTCTCCCGAGTGCTGGGACTAAGGACATGTGCCACCACCTCCTGGCTAAGTTTTCTATTTTTATGTAGAAAATTTATATGGAAAACAACTCTTTCATTAAGATGATTTCAGAGATAAAACTAACACTGGTGTAGTCACAATACTAAGTCCTATGTTTTTTTTTAATCAATAAAATTTTAGGAAACCTAAATTATACAAAATGCAGTAGACTCGGCCGGGCGTTGGTGGCGCACGCCTTTAATCCCAGCACTTGGGAGGCAGAGGCAGGTGGATCTCTGTGAGTTTGAGGCCAGCCTGGTCTACAGAGTGAATTCCAGGACAGCCTCCAAAACAATACAGAGAAACCCTGTCTCTAAAGACCAAAAAAAAAAAAAAAAAAAAAAAAAAAGCAGTACACTCATAACTTTAAAAAAACAAATGAGAAGGAAGTTTCATGTTTAATATTAGTTTTAACATGTAGTGTAGGATCTGTATCTTCCCACGTGAATAGGCAGTACTTTGCAGTGTTATTTTTTTCTGAATTTGTAGGGATTATGAACATTTAGGAGAATATGAAATATTTTTAATGTTTTTATGTATAGAAACTCATTACATGTGCTACTTTTCATTATGTTCAGTATAAATTATTATATTCAGTAAAAATCTTAATTCAAGTAAACCATTTTATTGTCTTAACAACAGCATCCTTTATGAAAATTGAGGTCTTGCTCAATTTGAAATTACATTATGTCTTTTTAGGAGCAGGAAACATTTGCTCACCAATATTTTGATTAAATGTCTTTTTTTCCTTATTAGGATCCAACTCAGAAAAAGATGGAATGCACCATACTGTCACCAAGCACAGAGGCATCATTACACTCTATAGGCATCAGAAAGCAGCTTTTGCTATCACAAGCAGGCGAGGTCCTATCCCCAAAGCAATCAAAGCTCAGATAGCAGATCTGCCTGCCGGAAGTAGTGGGAATGTCCTGGTTGAACTTGATGAGGTAAATAGTTTCTTTTCCCCCCTTCTCTAAATGCTCTTACTTTTTAAATAAAGAACAAAGTTGTATTATTAGCTTTCAGAATTGTATTTTTGTGCTTCCAAGTAAGTTAATAGCTTTTTAAAGTATTTTAACATTACCAGAAAATTTTAATTTTAAGATTTCTCATTTCTCTTGTAATTTATATTAACTTAAGTTTTTTGGTAGCTACCCCTTTTGATTGTAGATACATAAGCTATTCATAAATGTAAACCAACTCACTCTCAAAACATTGGCTGCAAAGATCATATTAAATGGCAGTGATGACTAATTGTTCTTTGTCCTATCAATGCCAACAGTTCTAGTGATTTTCTGAGAAAAATTTTGCAAGTGTTCAAATAGTAACACCAAGTATTATATTAAATGTATTTTGCCAGGGTAAGGTTGTAAATCTAGTTTTCTATATGAGCAGCCAGTCACTTTACTGTTAACTCCCTTCATCTCTGCTATAAAGATGTTTCCTATTTGTAATGATTTATATGAATTTCCATCCTGTTAGCTACTAAAAATATGTCGTGTGTGTGTGTGTGTGTGTGTGTGTGTGTGTGTGTGTGTGTGTGTGTGTGTGTGTGTGTCTGAGACTGCTGTTTCTAAGAGTCAGGGAACACTAAAAAAATGCCACTGGTGACTATTTCTAGAAGTCATGTACCCTTTTATTTCTTATTTTAGACAATTGCAGTTATGAGCTTTTTTTTTTTTTTGCCTATGTGTAATTGACTATTGACAAATGTTTTCAGTGGTCATAAATGCATCTAGTAATTGTTTCATTGACAAATTAAAGTACTGTCAGCTTTTAGATGGTGACTTTAAAATCCTCTTGATTAAAATTTTAGTGCATAAAGCTCTTTTCTAAAATTCTTCTTTCAACAACATTGGATTTTAGGGTCAGAAGCCTTACCTGGTACAACGGAGAGGAGCTGAATTTGCCTTAACAACTATAGTCAAGCATTTTGGTGCTGAAATGGCAGTGAAGTTGCCACATCTTTGGGATGCCATGGTTGGCCCATTGACGACTATGATTGACTTAAATAATTTTGGTATGCATTCATTTTAATCAGTTCAGTGTGCATGTGTTATCCTTTTAAAAGAAAACTGCTTATCTCTATCTTAGACCAGTATGTATTTTTTTAAAATTGAAGACTGGTAATTTTCAAGTTATTCTGTATGCTTTTCCCCTTTTGTATTTTTAAAAATAGATGTGGAAATGGATTATTAGTATAAATCTAATTGGTTGCTTCAAGTGTAGTATTAGAGCACTTAATGTCACATTATTTTTAATACAAAATTTTTGTTGACACTTTTTTAATTATAAACTGGCTGATGGCTCAGGTCTCTTATTGGCTAGCTCTCTCTTAATTATTAACCCATTTCTATTAATCTGAGTATTTCCACATGGTCTTATCTTAACTTCCTCGGCTACATGGCATCTCCCTGCAGCCTATACTTCCTGCCTGGCTACTGACCAGTGTATTATTCATCAACCAATAAGAAAAAAAAAATATATATATGTATGTATATATATATCCCCAATCATTTCTTCTCTTCTTGTTGACACTTCTATTCTTGATGAGAGGGTACTGATCTTTTTTGTGGCCTCTAGATTTTGAAAATTATGTAAAAAGTGATACAACTTTTATTTGAATAGATGGAAAATCCCTCCTGGAAAGAGGTGACAGTCCTGCTCAAGAATTGGTGAATTCTCTGCAAGTTTTTGAAATAGCAGCAGCCTCGATGGATTCTGCACTTCATCCCTTGGTAATTAATATGTATGGTGCTTTCAAAAAATTTGGTATAACTAGATTCTTCTGTATGGGACTCACAAATTGGGTACAGGAATGATAGAAAACTCAGTTTGGAAACCTGGGAAGCATTGTAGAAAGGGTTCTGAAGGGAAGGAGAAAGAGTAAAGACAAAGGAAATTGTAGGCTGGGTTGACCAATAATAGGTGGAGCTCCATGAAAGGAATAGCTCAGGCAGAAGGATGTCTTCAGGACAAGCAGGAGATCAAGTGCTAAGATGAAGGTGGTCAATGGCCAGGGGACAGTAGTGTGTGGCTTTGGTTTTGGTTTGGTTTTTACTGTTATACTTCTAACAAAAGCGTTTGCAGAGGGAAGAGGGAAGTAGAAAATTACTTGGTTTTATAAAAAAAAAACTTTCCATATATCTACATTAGGAAGGCTCTTGCAATTTATTGTATTGCAAACAGTTTTAGCTTTACTGCTCTATAGCTGTGTAACCTTAAAATGAAGATTCATAAAAGTGAATCAGGGTAATATTAGTTAGGAAGGAAAGTATGTCCTTTTGCTTGTTAAGAATTTCTCATAAGCCGTAGTGGCCTGTGTCTGTTTTCCAGTTTCTTGGAAGGTTAGATAGAAGGATTGCTTGTGTATGCAAGTTTGAGGCAAGCCTGGACAACAGCAAGTCCCCATCTCAAAGCTCTCCCCATCTTCTTACATTAGTAAAGAAAGAACTCTGATCTTTAGCCCCCTGTATTCAGATGAAATGTGAGTCTGGACTCACTGTTGAACAAGTACTTGGCTGTAATTGGTAGGCTTTATGTTCTATGCAGTGGACATTTATGATATGCTGTTGTGATCATAATGCTATGGTAAGCCAGGTCATGGAAATACCTACCAAAGTATGGCACCTAGAACAAAATCAGGAACACTGAACTCTAAGTATTCCCTAATAAGTATTGTAATTGCTTTTTTTTTTCCTTTTTTTCTTTAGCTGGTACAGCATTTGCCTCATCTGTATATGTGCCTTCAGTATCCCAGCACTGCAGTGAGGCACATGGCAGCTCGCTGCATAGGGGTCATGAGCAAAATAGCTACCATGGAAACGATGAATATCTTTTTAGAGAAGGTGCTTCCATGGCTGGGAGCAATTGATGACAATATCAAACAAGAAGGTGCAATTGAAGCTCTTGCCTGTATCCTTTATTTTGTCAAACTTGAGAAATTTTATTCGTTTTATTGGAGACTAATTCAGAGTTTATTCATTTTAAAATGTACATAAATCTGGTTTTTTCCAAATGACTTTTTACATTTTATTCTGTGAGTTCATTATGATTATATTTTATTATTAAAATTTCATAGTAAACACTTAAAGAATTGCTTAAGACAGACAATTAATTAATCAATCAGTCAATTAATTGTACAGAGTTCTGTCTGCATAGCAGAAGAGCTCATCAGATCTCATTACACATGGTTGTGAGCCACCATGTGGGTGCTGGGAATTGAACTCAGGACCTCTGGAAGAGCAGTCAGTGCTCGCAACCTCTGAGCCTTCTCTCTAGCCCCCAGCAGGTAACTTTTTAATAAAGTGCTTTTATGTAATTTCAACTAGTAACTGATCTGTTTATCATATAATTAATGTTTCATTAATATGAATTAAATACTGGGCAGGTTATGTTTACCTTAAATCAAACTTTGCTCTTTTTTTTTTTAGGGGAAAATGATTAAAATAATAAGTTAAACTCTAGTTTTAATCTTCAGATCATGTAAACTTTTGCTTTCTACTGAAATATACTGAATCTAGAAATGTACTGCAAGCTCTTTTTAAGGACATGGCAGCCATTGTTTAATTCAGAATGTGTGAACCTCATGTTCCAAAACAAGAAAGGTGGATAAGATCAAATCAGTAGAAACCTGGTTCAGAATTTTCACAGCCACAGGATTACGTTCAGTATATCCAGGTGGTGATTTTTATGCTCCTGGTAGGAAATTTGGGATTAATCTTTGTGTGACACTGAATTATACTCTTTTATTGTTACTTTCTCTATTTCCCTTCAGACAAAAATAATTTATATATATATATATATATATATATATATATATATATATATATATATATATATATATATATATATATATGCTGGAGAGATTGCTCAGTGGTTAAGACCACCTGTTGTTCAAGAGAGGACCTGGGTTTTGATTACCAGTGTCCATATAACAGCTCACAGGCTGTCTATGACCCCGGTCCCAGGGAATCTGACTCTCTCTTCTGACTTCTTCGGATATCAGGCATGCAGATGGTGCATAGACAGATATGTGAACCAAATACCCATATGCATAAAATTTTTAACAGTTAAAAATACACACACTCAGATAAGTATGTGTGTGTGTGTAATACAAAGAGATTGATTGATTGATTGATTGATTGATTGATTGATTGATTGATTGATTGATATGGGTATTCTCCCTGGGACTGGAGCTGTAGATGGTTGTGAGCTGCTATGTGGGTTCTGAGTATCAAACCCAGGTCCTTTGGAAGAGCATCCAATGTTCATAAATGCTGAGCCACCTGTACAGCCCCAATTTTATTTTATTTATTTATATTGATTTTTTTGAGGCAGGGTTTCTTTGCATAGCCCTGGAATTTGCTCTGTAGATTGGGCTGGCCTTGAGCTCACAGAGATCTCTACCTGTCTCTGCCACCTAAGTGCTGGGATTAAAGGTAGGTGCCACTACTGTTTGGTTTGCAATTTTATATTTTTGGTTTGCAATTTTATATTTTTAATTATGATAGTTACATAATTGCAAACAGAACTCATAATCTTGAGCCTGGAAGGATGGTGTAGATCTGTAATCCCAGTATACAAGGGTTAGAGGCAAGAGGCTCAAAAGTTAAAGGCCATTCTAGGCTTATAGGATGCCCTGTCTCGGAAAACAATAAAAAGCAAATTGGATATATTATTTACATGTCTGAAAATGTCAATTTTTCTTAAAATGCTGAAAGTTACGATCTTGGTATACTAGTATGTGAAGACATCTTACTGGGAACTATTTTGAAATTTCCTTGATGGCTTACGCAGGTGTTATGGAACAATTGGATGTTGGTATTGTTCCATATATTGTCCTTTTAGTTGTTCCTGTATTAGGGAGAATGAGTGATCAGACAGACAGTGTGAGATTCATGGCTACTCAGTGCTTTGCAACATTAATTAGACTGATGCCACTTGAGGTAAGTTGAGGAGATTTTGGTTCATGAATTTAGTGTTTTCTTTTCTTTCTTTCTTTCTTTCTTTCTTTCTTTCTTTCTTTCTTTCTTTCTTTCTTTTTCTTTCTTTCTTTCTTTCATTTTTTTTTTTTTTTTGCATGTTAACCATAGTTTATTATAGCGAGACCAAAAGGTGGGGGGGGGGGGGTAGAGACAGACATGACAGGGAGAGAAGATGAAAGAGGATGAGATAGAGAGAGACAGAGACAGAGAGAAAGAGAGGAGATGAGATGGACAGGAAGACGAGATTAAGAGAGACGAATTTAGTGTTTTCTATAACTTAATACTAATACTCCGGATACCACTAATAACAACTGTTTTAAATATTTATTTTTGTCTGTGTGTGCATGTGACTGTGAAGGTCAGAGGATTGAATTTAGGTCCGTCCCTATTAGAATACCTCTCTCAGGTTGAAGTACTGTAATGTATCCCTTCTCTCAAACATGCAAACACAAAGCAACCCTGCTATGTTAATGTGTATTTTATATCTCCATGGGTAAAATTAGTTTTAAAAGAATTTTAAAAGATCCAGAGTTGTTAATTATAAATATTTTGTATTTATGGTACTAAGAATATAACATAGAACCTGTATATGATAGGCAAGTATTCTACCAACTAGCTACACCCCCAGCTCATAAATGCTTACCTCAAGAGTGTGGAGGGCCGAGGAGATTACTCAGTGGATAATAGAGTGCTTGCTGCACAAGCATGAGGGCCTGAGGTGACGTGTCCACACATGCCTGTCACCTAAGTGGCAGAACAGGGGCCACTGCGTTTGTTGACTCCCAGCCTGGCTCTAGGTTCAGTGAGAGACAATGAAGGGAAGATGCTTCAGAGTGACAGAGTAGGACACTTGACATCTTCCTTTGTCCTTTATGCATTCATGAGCATATGTATACGCACACACACACACAAAATCAAACCAATATTGAAACATAAGGCTGTAAACAGTCAGTATCTATAAACATCACACACAGTATGTCAAGACTAGTTTAGTACACAGTTAACACCCTAACCCCCATGTATTGTAATTTGAAAAGGAACAGAGGTGCTTTGTATGTAGTCACATTTGTCTCTGCTCAAGGATGAGATTTAATAGCACTTAACCATTTCACCAGCCTAGCATGGGCCTTCCTTAGATGAAGCTGACGGGTGAGTTACAGGTGACACTAGTACATGTGGTGTCCTTGCTTATCCCAGTCTCAAACAGTTTTACTACTAAATAAACAAAATGAAAAAAAAAAAGCACAGTTCTTTCTTTTTTAAAAATGGTAGAAAGGTTTTAGGTATTCATTGGGACTTTTACATACCATATTTTGATTCAATGCCTGAGGACATTAGAACACCATGAATCCATAGCTGTCAATAACATGGAATGTAAATTAGATTACATATCTTTGTTTCTTTATTAGCACTTGTTGTAAAATAAAGTCCTCTAATTGGGTTCTTTATAATGCCTCAAGTATATTTTGTCTAATTCAAGCATTTTTAACATCTTTCAAAGTCTTTATTTACCCTCAAATTTTTATACCATTTTTCAATACTTTTTTCTGTGTGTATGTTTGTTTTGGTAAGACTGAATTATTTTTGATAACATTTTAGGATGAGAAATTTAGGAAACGGCATCGACTATCTAGTGAGATCAAGGCCTTTGGACAACATAGTGAGACCACAAGCATGCGTGCGTGCGTGCATGCATGTCGTCCTCCTGCCAGCCTTACCCATGGAGCAGTTATTAGTTAAGACTTATTTTTGAGACAAGATCTCATGTAACTCAGGCTGACCTGAAACTCTCTGTGTAGCTGAGCATGAACTAGAATTCTGCCTCCAACCCTTGAGTGCTTTGATTATGGATATAGTTCCAAGCAGTGTCATGATTGAAATCAGGGCTTTTTCTTGCTAGTAAGGCACTTGAGAAATGAACAGCTTACCACATCTCCAAACTAATTTTAATACATTTTAAAAATCCTTCCAGGCAGGCATTCCAGACCCTCCAAACATGTCAGAAGAATTAATCCAAATGAAAGCAAAAGAGCGACACTTTTTAGAACAATTGTTAGATGGGAAGAAATTAGAAAATTACAAGATCCCAGTACCAATCAATGCTGAACTACGAAAGTATCAGCAGGTAAGTTTATCTTTCATCTTGTAAGTATGAAGTCACTTTTCCTATTTGATTTAGTAAAATCTTAGGTTTAATGTCCTGTATTGATTTCTCTTTTGATGATGTAAAGATTTAGGTCCATGCAAATATGTTTTACAAGAAAACATTCTTGTGATCTTTTTACATTAATATTTTTCCTCTCTTTACCCAACCTTGTAGGATGGTGTGAACTGGTTAGCCTTTCTTAATAAATACAAGCTTCATGGAATTCTATGTGATGACATGGGCTTAGGAAAAACATTACAGTCCATCTGCATTCTAGCAGGAGATCATTGTCAGAGGTAACTTAAAATACTACTTCAAAACAAAAGTTCTAAATTCTGATGAATGGAAACAAACTTGTTAATTTTTTTCTTTTGTAAAGGGCCCAGGAATACGCAAGATCGAAGTTAGCAGAGTGTATGCCGCTTCCGTCCTTGGTGGTTTGCCCACCAACATTAACAGGGCATTGGGTAGATGAAGTAGGTAAATTTTGCTCCAGAGAATATCTCAATCCATTGCATTATACTGGCCCTCCCACTGAAAGGATAAGGTAAGAACTGTACAACAAAAAGTTTTACATTTTAAATATTTTAAGTGAATTATAGTTAGCTCTGATTATAACCATAGGAATCCAACTTAATGAAGTCGGTACCTTAGGAAAATATCAGAAAGCTCACCAGAATGAAGGACTTGGGCCACTGTCCCACCCACTGTCATTCTAAGTATTTCGTATGAGAAACTAGAGCAATTATGTCCACTCTGTGTTCTTTTGAGGACCTTGTGACCATAGCATCTCTTCCTCTTTTTTTCTATTCTCTAAATATTTCTGTTTCCTTTTTCCTACTTCATTTTCTTTTACTTTTGGTCCACAATGGCTGTTCTACTGTTGTGTTAACAATTGTGTACTCCCAATCAGCCTCTAAGACAGTATAGTTCTCAACTTGTGGTTGCTACCCCTTTGCAGAAGGGTCACATATCTGATATTTACTTTGATTCATAACAGTAGCAAAATTACAGTTCTGAAGTAGCAACAGAATAATTTTATGGTTGGAGTCACCACAACATGAGGAACTGTATTAAAGGGTCACAGCGGTAGGAAGGTTGAGAATCACTTCTCTGAGGCATACTGTTTTGAGATAGTTGTAAAGAATAGGTCCTGGGTCCAAGATCACTTAAGTTTGTTAAGTAGACAGGGTGAGGATTTGAATGTAAGCAGTGTCTCATGAATTTGTGATAGGAATTTAACTCAAGCTAGCATCAGTAAACAGGGAATATCAGTTCACTTCCTCAAATTTCAAGCCTGAATTATTGCTTTAGAAACTAGTACTCTAACTTGTTCTTCCTTCCCAAATGAAATTTGTTGAATTGGTATTTTTTTCTTGACTTTATTCTACAGTTGATGGGTAAATGACCCCTGGCAACCCCAAGCCCACATTCTCCTAGCTCCACTACAATACTAGGAGGTCTTCCTTTTTCATCAGAGATTGCTCTCATAGTCTGAGTGGGAAGGGAATGTATCCCAAAAGCAGAGATACTGATAAACTGTCATATTTTGAGTTAGGTGCTCATCTTTTTTTCTGAGCCAGATAGCAAGTCTGCATCTTAAAGAATGTGGATTGTTAGATACAGAGTGAACACAAAATCTCAGTAGACGACTTGAAGCACTTTATACTATAATAGTAGCTGTAGTTATACTATTAAAATTATACTAAGATGACAGTGGTGGTGTATGCTTTTAGTAGGCAGCCAGATTTGTCAGTTTGAGGTCAGTCTGGTCTACAGAGAGTTCAAGGAAAGCCAGGGCTACACAGAGACCCTGTCTGTCAAAAACGAACAAACAAACAAAAAATCAATAAAATAAAATTGTATTAAGAAATTAATGATTCCTGTTTCCTAATTTTTCTTAAAGGTTACAGCATCAAGTAAAAAGACATAATCTGATAGTAGCTTCATATGATGTTGTGAGAAATGACATAGACTTTTTTAGGTAAGAATTCGAATATTCTTCAGGAAAATTTAGTATTGACTGGTAAGGGGGAATTAGATGGGGTCATGTGGGTGCTGAATGTGAATAGCAAACATACTAGGTTGTGAAAATGCCAACCAAACCATCAGTTTGTGCTGTGAATGAATGCTAATTTAAATTAAAACTTAGTTGGGAGAAAACACAAAAGAGACTCCCAGGTTGCTGGAACATTCTGTTTTGCACTGAAGTGTGGCTATGTGTATAAGCATACCTTATAAAATTCATGTATCTATTGACATCAGAATTGTAGATTTTTTCTGTATGTTGTCTCTTTCTATGAAATATTTCTAGCAAAAATAAGAAAAAGTTGATATTGAAATTACAAATTCTTAATTATCTGCCTCTAAGATTGTTCCTATAATGTCTGATATACAGGAAAAGATAATAGCTTTTATTTATTTTTCCTTAGGAATATTAAATTTAACTACTGTATTCTTGATGAAGGTCATGTCATAAAAAATGGAAAAACTAAATTGTCAAAAGCAGTAAAACAACTAACTGCTAACTATAGGATTATTCTTTCTGGAACACCAATCCAGGTAATTATTTACTGTTCTTCCTGTTTAAAACAAAAGCAACAAATTTTCCAGTGGAATGGCATTTAGCAGTAAATTAAGTAGTCTTTTAGTTTCTAAAGATAACATGAAATTTCCAGTAGTTAAATTGTGTTTATAAAGGTTCCTTTGGTATATGGCAGTAGTTAAACTGGGCAAGTATGGTTTGGTTTGGGTTTTTAAGGTAGGATCTCACTAGGTAGTCCTTGGCTGGTCTGAAACCCAAGGGCTGGTCTCAAATTCATTGTAATCCACCTGCCTCACCTTCCTAAATGCTGAGATTACAAGTGTGCATGACCACATCTGGTCTTTCATAATGAATCTTTTAAAAATATTTTACATTTATATATTTTTAAAAATTCTATGTATGTGTTTTTCCTCTATAAGGAACACACAGAGACCAGAAGAGAGTGTCACACACATTCCGTGAGATTGTTGTAGGTTTGGGAACTGAATCTTGGTCCTCTTTAAGAGCAGCAAGTGTTCTTTACCACTGAGCTACCTCTCAAGGTGTCCCATCTCCCTTGTTGTATAGCTGTGACTAGCCCAGAACTCACTGTGTATAGATCAAGCTGACTTTGAAATCAAAGATCTGCTTGCCTCTAAAACTGGTCAGGTTTTATTAAAGATCATGCTTAAACTCCAATTTTAGGCTATTTAAATAGCACTTGTTTGATGTATGAAACAGATTTGATTCTAACTCTGTAGTATGACTCAGCAATATGATTTAGTACTGAAAATCTAGTACCAACTTAGACATGAATCACTCACAGCAGAGGTGTAAAAAATTCAGCAAATGTTCCTGTCTAACCTAGATGGCCATCTCTGGCAGAAAGATCACCTTGATCATTCTCCATTTGGTGGAAGGATATTTTCTAGCTCTAAAAGTTGATGTTGTGGGTTTTTGTTTTTAAGGCAGGGTCTTCATTGTGTAGTATAGCTGACCTCAAATTTATTTCGCCTGCCTCAGTTTCCCAAGTACTGGGATACAGATGTGTGCATCACACAAGGCAATTCTTTATAATTTTTTCCCCCTTTTGGGTTGGGATTTCTTTTCATTGCTCTGGCTGTCCTGGAACTCCCTATATAGAACAGGATAGCTTCAAACTCAGAGATCTCTCTGCTTCTGCCTCAGGAGTGCTGGGATCAAAGGGTTGTGCCACCACACATGGCTTCTAATTTTATTTTGAATTTATTTTTAGCAGTGACTGCTTATTCTAAGGCAGTAATTCTCAACCTGGAGGTCTAGGTCTCCACCCCTTGTGGAGAGTTGCGTATCAGATATCTCACATATCAGGTACTTACATTAGGGGTCATAACAGTAGCAAAATTACAGGTATGAAGTAACAACAAAATAATTTTATGGTTGAGGGTCACCACATGAGGAACTGTATTAAAGGGTCACAGTATTTGGATGGGGTTAGAATATGACTAGTTAAGTAAACTGCATGTTTTGGTAATCATTAGAGACAAGCTTTTCATTTACAGTTTTTTCTAAACTTACTAGGGGTTTTGGTTTTTTTTTGGCATTATTTTGTTATGTTGGGGATCAAACCCAGGGCCTCAAAGATTTCAAGCAGGTGTAACCTCTGGATTAAACTCCTAGCCCGAAGTTGGTTTTGTATGTGTGTGTTAAAGGTCATTTACAGGGAGGAGAGGTGGTTCCTCTGCTAGCACGCCTTCTGGGTCCTGGGGACAGTGAGGGCAGGGAGGCCTGGCTTCGAGGTTCAGCTGCTGGTAGGCAGGTGTGCTGATGTCAGTGGACTGTGAGCTGCGAGCCTCTGGAGACAATACAAAGCTCTGTTGTCATGGTACCATAAATTGGTTCATACATTTGGGGTGGTACAGAATCAAAAGCAGCCCTGTCTTCCAAATCCCTAAGGCTGATACACTGAACCAGATAGTCTGACACTTGCAGGTCAGCCAAAGAGTCAGATCTAGGAAAAGTAGCAGGCTAACAGTTTTCTGAAAAAAAGCAACTTTGAATCTGAACTTGGTAATAAAAGAAGAAATGAGAAACCCTTGTTGGATTAGAAAGAACTGGCTTCTTGTGGTTGGAGTGACTTTCATAGTGCCTATCTTGCAACATACTTTATACAGAGAGCTCCAAAAGAATCTGTGAGGTCTCAATCCAGAGACAAAAGAATATTGAAGAATGAGGCAAAAAAATTACTCAGAATTATTAATGTCATTAAATTAATACATGTTGTTATTATAACCACTTACTTGATTTTGTAGCTGGTAATGTTGAATGTGCAGATTTTCGTTCCTAAAGAACAGTATTTAATGTTAAAACATGACAGTGCAGTAAATGAAAAAAAAAAAACACAAAATAAAGCCACCTTCACAAGTTAAAAAAGGAGGGAGGAAAGGATACTTTTAGATTTTTATTTTTATTGTTGTTGTTTTTCAAGACAGGGTTTGTCTGTGTAGCCTGGCTGTCCTGGAACTCACTTTGTAAACTAGCCTGGCCTTGAACTTACAGATATCCCACCTGTCTCTGCCTTCTGATTGCCGGTGTTAAAGGCATGTACCACCATGTCCAGCAACTTTTAGGTTTATTTTTAGGCTACTACTTGAATGAGACATCAAAAGGTTGGTGGTTTTGTCTAGCTAAAAGGCCGTCTCTTTCCCTACTTTAGTATTTGAGTTTTGAAACTATCAGGTAGGTCTCTGCTCTTCAGAGCTTTAGCAGGGTTAGAAGGGTGAGTTCATGTGAGAGAGCACCTGGGTACACTGAGCCAGATCCTGGGATGGATGAGGAGGCCTCTGAGGAGGAAAAACGTGTTGGGGAGGACACATTAGGATCCAGATGTAATGGGAAATGAGATTTTCAAAACTGAAGAAAAGATAATTGGTATTTCTTTTTTTATGTTCAGAACAATGTTTTGGAGTTGTGGTCACTTTTTGATTTCCTTATGCCTGGATTTTTGGGTACCGAACGCCAGTTTGCTGCTCGATATGGTAAACCTATATTAGCGAGTAGGGATGCACGAAGCTCCAGTCGAGAACAAGAAGCAGGTAAGAAAGAGTAATAGTAAGTCCCCATGATTGTATGATTTACTCCAAATATTTAACACTGTGTTCTCACTGTTGGCAGGTGTTCTTGCGATGGATGCACTGCACCGCCAAGTCCTGCCTTTCCTTTTGAGAAGAATGAAAGAAGATGTTTTGCAGGATCTTCCACCTAAAATTATTCAAGACTATTACTGTACTCTTAGCCCTCTCCAGGTTAGGGATGTGCTCATAGTCATGGTTGATAGAATATTATTAGCAGAATGGCCTTTTTTTTTTATCAGATGCCTATAGAAAATTAAACTCTTCTAGGTTTATGTGGTGACTTTAGCCAGATTCCTTAAATCTTGCTGTTACTACTAGAGTGTAAATATGAAACACATCTCACTCCACTGGAGGAGACTAGGGGATTTCCCTTCAAAGGAATATCATGTTTTCTCTAAGGACAGCAAGCTGAATTCTGTAGATTAAAACAACGACCAGTGTTCTTCTCTCTTCCAACTGTAAGGAAATAATCCTCTGGAATCTGGCCCCAAATTACCACATAAACCCACCACCACTTTCTCATTGAGACATTTCACTTAAAGCATTTATGGCTTCTCTTTGGCATAGCCAAACTTCTAGCCTCACTGCTCTTGTATTTTGGGCTGTTATTGAGTGAATAAGGCTTACTTGAACACAGGATAGTATCACAGAGAATTGTGACAGTTGATCCATATTGGAATTGGGACTATATGACTGATGGGCAGGTGCCTTATGTAACATGGATGTGCTTACAAAAGGGTGATGATTTTGATACCTGACAGACGAAAATGGCATGGCATGGATTTTTTTTTTTTTTCTTGGTTTTTCAAGACAGGGTTTCTCTGTATTGTTTTGGAGCCTGTCCTGGAACTCACTCGGTATACCAGGCTGGTCTCGAACTCACAGTGATCCGCCTGTCTCTATGGCATGGAATTTTACCACACAGAGTGGCACATGATTTCATGACATAAATTGCTTATTTGTGGAATTTTTTTTTCTTTCCGAGACAGGGTTTCTCTGTGACTTTGGAGGCTGTCCTGGAACTAGCTTGTAGACCAGGCTGGTCTCGAACTCACAGAGATCTGCCTGCCTCTGTCCCCACCCCCCACCCAGTGCTGGGATTAAAGGCATGTGCCCAGCTATTTGTGGAATTTTTTATTTAGTACTTTCAGATCAAAAAATAAAAACAGAACAAATCTGGAGGAAGAGAACTCTAGAGGGAAGTGACATTTTGGCTTTGTTTAGTATTTATGGGTTTTTGTTCTTCGATAGATTTTCTTTGTTCTTGTATTATGTTAGTCAATACAACAATGCTTTGAACTAGCAGTAACATGCTTTTAAAATCTGGTCTTAGAATGTATTTACAGGTTTTTGGTTTTTTTAAAGATTTTATTTATTATGTATGTCTGCACGTCAAAGAGAGTACCAAATTTCATTATAGATGGTTGTTAGCCACCATGTGGTTGCTGGGAATTGATCTCAGGACCTCTGGAAGAGCAGCCAGTGCTCTTAACCTCTGAGCCATCTCTCCAGCCTCCACTTACAGGGGTTTTTTTTTTTTTTTTAATATAGCCTCATGTTAAAAAAAATAACAAAGACTTCTCATTTACTTGTAAATAATCTGGTTCCCTTTTATTGGTAATATATTTTCCTAAATGGTGGAAAAATTGTGTGTGTGTATGTGTGTTTATTTAGTACTTTGCAGCTAAACTTAACACATTGATTTTTAAAAATTTTCTGTAAATTTAAAGGAACTTAAACACAGATGGAGTAAATGATTTCTAATACTAATAATGTGGTATAAGTGTCATAATTTGCTTTCATTAATGAAGGCTGGTTTAATTTACTGTTCTTGGGTTTACTAGATATATATTTGGATAAGTTTTAAAATGTATAATGTTTCTCGGGGGGTTATTTTACAGGTTCAGCTTTATGAAGATTTTGCTAAGTCTCGTGCCAAGTGTGATGTTGATGAGACCGTGTCTTCAGCTGCACTTTCAGAAGAAACTGAAAAACCAAAGCTTAAAGCTACAGGTCATGTATTCCAGGTAGAGCTTATAAACTACTTTTATCTTTTTTAAAGATTTATTTATTTATTACATATACAGTGTTCTACCAGAAGAGGGCACCAGATTGAATTGTAGATGGTTGTAAGCCACCATGTGGTTGCTGGGAATTGAACTCAGGACCTCTAGAAGAGCAGTCGGTGCTCTTAACCTCTGAGCCATCTCTCCAGCCCCATAAACTACTTTTAAAAATTAAAGAATGTCGGGCAGTGGTGGTGTACTATAGACCAGGCTGGCTTCTACTGCCTGTGCTTTCTGAGTGTTGGGATTAAAGGTGTACACCACCACCACCTGCTGGGTATCTTTCCAGACTGCTCCCTTCTTTCTGAGCCTCACAGCATGCTGTTCATTTAGGGTTAGCTGGCTAGGGGATCCCCTGTATCTTCCTCCTATGCAAGGAATTACAAGCTTTCCTTTTTCGTTTTTTTTTTTTTTTTTTTTTTTTAATGTGGGTTCTGGGGATCTGAAGTCTGGTCCTCATGCTTGTGGTGTGGAAGTGGTTTGTGAGCCAAAGCAGCTTGCCTAGCTCTGAACTGGTTCTTGTGCACTTGAGCAGACATTTTCTAGAAAATTGGAATAGCAAAGAAAGGATACAAAAATACAACTTGTGGTATGAAGAAAATGGAGTTATATAAGTTATTTTTCCCCTCTTCTAAAGGCATTACAATATTTACGTAAACTGTGCAACCATCCAGCATTGGTCTTAACCCCTCAGCACCCAGAATTCAAGAGTACTACTGAAAAACTGGCAGTCCAGAATTCTTCTCTTCATGATATTCAGCATGCCCCTAAACTTTCTGCTTTGAAACAGGTATGCCCTTTACTGGTAAAATAATGTGTTCCTAATTTATGATATAAGAAAAAAAATGCTGTTCCCAAAGATCATTGGTGTATTTACCATTTACTATATTTTTAAATTTGGCCTACTTAAAAAATTTTTTTTCAAGCTAGGGTTTCTCTGCAGCCTTGGCTCTCGTGGAACTTGTCGTCGTTCTTGTTCTATAGACCAGAACTGACCTCTGCCTCCTGAGTGTTGCGTAAAAGGCATGTGCCAACACTGCCTGGCCATTTTTCTTCTTTTTTTTTTCCCCCGATACAGAGTTTCTCTGTATTGTTTTGGAGCCTGTCCTGGAGCTCTCTCAGTAGACCAGACTGGTCTCGAACACACAGAGATCCACCTGCCTCTGCCTCCTGAGTGCTAGGATTAAAGGTGTGCGCCACCAACGCCCTGCTTGAATGGCTTTTTAAAAAACAAACAAACAAAAAAATAGAATCTCATTATGTAGTACTAACTGGCCTGGAATTTACAATGTAGACCAGTCTTACCTCAAACTTACAGATCTGCCTGTCTCTCTGCGTACTGAGATTAAAGGTGTCACCACCATACATGATCACCTTTAAAATATTTTATCTTTTCATCTAAAGAAGTTACTTTATAGCATTTGTTTGAGACATTTTGTCCCGCCTTGGATTAACCTTTATTAAAGGTCTAGTGAGTATCAGAGACTAAAGAAGGGTGGTTAGTTTGAGCCCCAACTACTAATAGGTGAGTAAGTTACAACTAAATTTAACCTTTTCTTTCCATAGATTACTTCCAGTAGAAAATATTTGTGATAGCAAATATTTGTTGTCTACTACTGTTGAAGAGCTGTGTAATATTTCTTCCCTCAGTTGCTATTGGACTGTGGCTTGGGAAATGGCAGCACTTCGGACAGTGGCACAGAGTCTGTTGTGGCCCAGCACAGAATACTGATCTTCTGTCAGCTCAAAAGCATGCTTGATATAGTAGAACACGACCTGCTCAAGCCTCATCTGCCCTCTGTCACTTATTTGAGACTAGATGGCAGCATACCTCCTGGGCAGAGGCATTCCATCGTGTCCCGGTAAGTAGCTCCCCAGCTGTTAATGTAAGTCAAGATTAGTGTATTTGTTATTGCTTATGTTTTCATTGGGTAAATACCTGCAGATGTGTTAAAGCGTAATCCAATCCAAATAAATCTCCTTTTGATAGAGAACTACAGGTGATTATCCTAGGAAAGCACCTTGAAAAGCATAGTGGAAATCTTATCTAGCTACTTTTTCCTCACTGTTTTTAATGTTTAGGGTGGAAGTAAGCAAATAGATAATTTAGCTGAGATCCCTGTCTTAGCTACTTTTTGCCTGCTAAAAACAAATAATGAAGTGACTCATCTAAGAAGCAGTATGTGTGTTCTGCAAATTACCTGAAATACATTGTTGGAGTCAGCATTCTGACAAAACAGATTCCCAGGTTCAGTCCCAAACCTAGAGCTCACTGGTAAGGCTAGTCGTAATAGCCAAACTACTCCAGGGATTCCCATCTCTACCTTCCAATGTTGGAATTAAAGGTGGGCTGCTTGTCCACGTGGCATTTATGTAGGTTCTAGTAATCGGAATTCATGCTCTTGTGTAAGCACTTTACCCACTGAGCTGTTAACCCCAGTCTCTTGTTTGTTGTCTTAATGACTCTTCTCAGACTCCATGTAGTTTTAATTTTGGTTTCCTTGACAGCGAGTGATGCTATATGTCTGTCTTTGTTTTGTTCCCTATATTTAATAACCCATTCTAGTGCATCTTTAAGAATTGTTTGTTCATTTCATTAGCCCATTTATTGATGGGGTGTTTTGTTTGTTTTTTGGTATTTAGTTTAATCCTATATATAGCAAAGACTTTTTCCCCCTTTTTTATAAGCTGGCTCTTCATTTGATTGTATACCTTTGATGTACAAATTTCTAATTACATGTGATCCTATTTGTCAGTTCTTGGCATTATTGAGTGATTGGAATCCTTTTTAGGAAGTCCTTGACTATGACTATATCTAAGTAGTATTTTTGCTTCTTACAGTTGGAAAATTTCAGTTCCTAGGTTATAGTCTCTGATCACTATATATTGATTTTTGTACAGGGTGACAGGCATCTATATGTGGAGATTCAGTTTTCACAGTTCTGTTAATTGGAAAAGGGCTGTTCTTATTCCAGTGTATGTTTTTGACATTTTGTTGACGTTCAGGTTGCTGTAGTTACATGAGCAACTACATGAGTTTACATCTGGATCCATTGTTTTATTACATTATTTTCGGTGTCTGTGTCCTTGCAATATGTTTTTCCTGTAGAGATGTAATTGAAATCAACTATGATGACACCTCTAATGGTTCTTTTTTTTTTTTTTCCTGAGGATGGCACTGGTTTATGCAAGGGCTTCTGTACTTAATAGGAATAAAATTTTCTCTTTTTCTGTGTTTTCTGAAGAGTTGTTGAAATAATTGTATTTTGCTGTTTGAGACAGGGTTCACTATGTAGTCCTGGCTGTCCTGTAACCCACCCTATAGACCAGGCTGGCCTCAAACTCACAGAGATCTGCCTGCCTCTGCCTCCCGAGGGCTGGGATTAAAGGTGTATACCACCAGTGCCCAACACCTCTATCTTTTTTTTTTTCCTTTTCTGCCTCTATCTTCTGAGTGCTGGGATTAAAGACATGTGCCACCATGCTCAGTTCATTGGAATATTTTTATTAATTCTTTGAGAGTTTCATATATTGTATTTTTATTATATTCAACTCTTCCCTACTTCCTCCCAGATCTACTCTCCCATTCCGTCCCCACCCTACTTTGTACCCTTATTTACTTATTTTTAACAGCACTGAGTAACATTGGTGCCGCCTATATACTCTTCAGTGGAGTTGCTGAAAGTTGGATGAGGTTTGTCTTGAATCTGTAGATTGTTTTTGGTAGTATAGCCTTTTCCACAGTAATCTAAACTGTATCTGTAAGGAAGAAGCAGATATATTTCTGTGAGTTCAAGGCCAGTCTGGTCTACATACCAAGTTCTAGGACAGCCAGAGCTGCATAGAGAGACATTGTCTCAGTAAACAAGTAATTTTCTTTTAGAGAGCTTTCATTTCATAGGTTAGTTTTGTTCCTAGCCCTGTTCTATTTATTTAGCAGCATGTTTTTTTTAAATAAATGACTGTTTAATACTTGTTTTTAAAGATGTATATTTGTGTATACAGTGCTCTCTCTGTATGTGTGCCTGCAGGCCAGAAGAGGGTACCTGATCTCATTATGATTATGGACGGTTGTGAGCCACCATGTGGGTGCTGGGAATTGAACTCAGGACCTCTGGAAGAGCAAACAGTGCTCTTAACCTCTGAGCCATCTCTCTAGCCCCTAGCAGCATGTTTATTATTGGTATATTGGAAAGCTACTGATTTTGAATGTAGATTTTGAATTGTTACTTTACTAAAAGTTTGCTTGATCTGAGTTTTCTGATGGACTTTTTAGAGGTCCCCCCTCTGTGTGTGTGTGTGTGTGCGCGTGCGTGCGCATGTACTTGTTAGTATAGAAACATGTGAAGATTAGAATTTGGTATTGTAATGTTTTAATCACTTTTCTGCTTCACTTTGGGAGACAGTCTCTCACTGAATCTGGAGCTCACTGTTGAGGCTTAATAGCTGACCAGCTCCCAGGATTCACATATCTTGCCATGCCTGCCTTTTATGTGGGTGCTGAGAATTTGAATTCAAGTTCACAGCAAGCGTTTTAATCACAAAGCCACCTTGTAGCCCAAGATAATCACATTATCTTCTGAAAACTTTGGCTGACTTCTTTCCTATTTGCATCCCCCTTTTTCCTTCTCTTGTCTCACTGCTTTTCAAGCACAGTGTTGATTGGAGTGAAGAATTTTGATATGCTTTTCTTACTCCAGGTTTTACTAAACAGTTTTCTCCTGTTTAGTAGTATAATGTCTGTCATACAGCCTTTATTACATTGAGGTATTTTCCTTTTATTCCTAGTATCTTCTGTCTTGAAGTAATTGAGGATTTTTTGTTTATTTGTTTTATTTTTTGAAGACAGTTTCTCTGTACTTTTGGAGGCTGTCCTGGAACTCGCTCTACAGACCAGGCTGGCTTCAAACTCACAAAGATCCGCCTGCCTCTGCCTCCCTAGTGCTGAGATTAAAGGCGTGTGACACCACTGCCCAGCAGAATTAAGGATTTTGTTGAACCCCTCTGCAGCTATTGAAATAATTATATGATTTCTGTCTTTAAGTCTGTTTATGTGATGAACTATATCAATATGTTAAGCCATCTCCAGGAATGAAGCCAATTTGACTCCCATGTTTTTGATGTGTTCTTGAATTTGAATTGCAACTATTTTATTATTTTTGCATCTTATATTCATTATGGAGATTATAATTTTTTTATTATTAACTGTTTTGATATCAGACCAATACTGACTATAAAATGATGGTAGTGCTGGGCTGTGATGATACACCCCTTTAATCCCAGCACTTGCAAGGCAGAGGCAAGAGGATCTCTGTGAGTCCCAGACAGCCAGGGCTGGTGCAGAGAAACCCTGTCTCTAAAAAACAAGTAGCAAAACAAAAAGTTGGGTAACAATTCTTTGCTTTCTGTTATGAACATTGGCATTAGTTTTTTTTTTAAGATTTATTTATTTATTATTGTTATCCTGCCTCTATGTATGTCTGCATGCCAGAAGAGGAGATCAGATCTCATTATAGATGGTTGTGAGCCACCATGTGGTTCGCTGGGAATTGAACTCAGAACCTCTGGAAGAGGTTCTTAACCTCTGAGCCATCTCTCCAGCCCTGGCATTAGTTCTTTTTTGAATGTCTAGTAGAATTCAGCAGTGAACCCATGTAGATATGGGCTCTTTTAATTTGAATATATTTTATTACTTGTTATATATTTATGTTATTTATATCCACTTAGTTGAATTTCAGTGGATTATGTGTCTAGATCTAGAAACATACCATTTCTTTTAATTTCTCAAATTATTAGAATATAAATTTTAAAGTATAGCCTAATCAAAATTTTGTCAGCATGTGTGTCTTTTTCATTCTGATTTTGTTAATTTCAATGTCTTTTTGCTATTCCTTAGTTTGGCTGTATCTTTTCAGAGAACAATGTTTTTCTACTCATTTTTGTTTTCTTTTTCTTTCTTTTTTTGTTTTTTTACGAGACAGGGTTTCGCTATATTGTTTTGGAGGCTGTCGGTCCAGCCCGGCCTCTAGCTCACAGAGATCCCCCTGCCTCTGCCTCCTGAGTGCTGGGATTAAAGGCTTGTGCCACCAACGCCCAGCTTTTCTTTTTTTTTTTTTTTTTTTTTCATTTTTTTAACCTTATCTTTGTTTCTTCTTTCTACCAATGTGTGTGCGTGCGTGCGTGCGTGCGTGCGCGCGCGCGTGCTGCACTCTGGAGGTCAGGACAGCTTGTGGAGCCAGTCTGCCTTCTGCCATGCCTTCACTTGTTTAGTCTCTCGTGCTCTGGGTTTGAACTCCATGCACTTGTAGTTCTGACCTCCCTCTAGAGCTGCCTTCATTGCGTTTGCATCCCCCCCCCGCCCCCCATTTCTTCTTCAATCGTGTGTCTGTTTTTTCTTCTGGCTAGGCTGTCTGTTGGTGCTGGTTGGCATGAAGGTCACGCACTGTCACTGTTGAGGCTGATCTGTCTTCATCCAGTGGTGCTTGTGTATGAAGTTAGGTGTGCCTTTATGCACCATGGCACTCTTCCTTGCAGTTAGATGCTTTCCTTCTGTTCTGTTTAGCATTCTAAACGCCTCCCGAGTCTGGGTGTTCATTTCTTTCCCTAGATTTGGGGAGCTTTCCACCATGATTTTACTGAGAGTATTAACTTGATGCTGAGTAATCTGGTCTTTAGTGATGTTCACACCCTAATTATCTTTCTCAGTGTCTGGATGCTCTCATTTTTCTTCTCATCTGTTGTTGATATTCTTCTACTTTCCCCATTCTATGAGGCCTTTTACTGAAGTTTTCATTTGACTTAGCTTTTCATTTCTGAATTTTCAATGTTGGGCTGATGAGATGACTCAGCTGTACTTGCTCCACAAACCTGGTGACCTAGTTTCAATCCTTGGGGCCCACTTTTTCAGTATTTTTGTTTCTTTATTGAATTCCTGCTTCATATACTATATTGGCCTCATTTCAAATGTTTCCTTTTAAAATATATTTAGAAGTTCACGTGTGTCTTTTTTTTTTTTTTTTTTTTTGGTTTTTACGAGACAGGGTTTCTCTGTATTGTTTCGGAGGCTATTGGTCCAGCCCGGCCTCGAACTCACAGAGATCCGCCTGCCTCTGCCTCCCGAGTGCTGGGATTAAAGGCGTGCACCACCACCGCCCGGCCACGTGTATCCTTTTTAATATTATTAAACATTATTATAATTTTTCCCCTTGAGTTTTTTGATATTCATCTAACTCATTCTCCGTGGTATTCATTTCTTTTTTTTTTGTGCAATTGCTACTTTTCACAGAGTTCATACTGCTTTTTTTTTTCATGATTCTTGATTTTCTTTTGTTGGAACTTGCACGTCTAGGCTTTTTTTCATTGGTTGGATCCCCCCTCCCGTTTTTTTAATCTCCCACACACACCTGTGTATTCTTTCTGCGCAGGTATTTACAACACTTAGAGGGTACTAGCTTCTAGTGGGGCCAAAATGTCATTCCTCCCCAGTGAACTCGAAACTCAGTCCACATGCTAGGTGTTGGCATGATCACCACCACCACTCTTTCAGAGTGATATTTGCAGAAGCAACCACGATTGCCAACTAGTCATTGAAAGACAATCATCTTTTTTAACTTCAATGACTGTTGGGCATAGCAAACTACAGTAGTACAGTGATACTTACCAACATTAGGAAGGGAAGAGGCTAACTAATCATAGGGTTAGTATTGATCAACAGGGGGAAAAACAGGGGAAGGCAGATAGAAGGAGGGGTTTGGAATGTTAGGATCTACAGAGTATATAGATTAGTAAAGAAGTAAAAGGAGGAGGGCGAGGTTCAGTGACTAAGAGCACTTGCTGCTCTTTTAGAGATCCAGGTTCTATTCCCAGCACCCACATGGTGGCTCACAACTGCTCACAACTCCAGTTCCAGGGGAATCCAATACTGTCTCCTGGTGTACCAGACATGCACACAGGCCAAACACTCATACGTGTTAACAGACAATTTAGAGGGACCAAGGGGGGTATAAGGAAGGAATGAATGGGAGTTGGCTAAAAAGAAAGTAGGATGTACAGTAGAATGTCAAAAGAAACATACAGAACAAACATAAAACCCAGTTAAGTAATGCACAAATACAAGCAAGATCATTTAGAGATGTGTGTGCAAGAGTAAGGTGTTTTGTTTATTTTTGGTTTTTCGAGACAGGGTTTCTCCATCTATTTTGGCACTCGCTCTTATAGACCAGGCTGGCCTCAAACTCACAGAGATCCGCCTTCCTCTGCCTCCTGTTGCTGGGATTAAAGGTGCGCGCCACCACCGCCCAGCAGTTTTTGTTTGTTTTAAAGAAAGGCCAGGTAAACTAGTTTTAAAATATATAGCAAAATCAAATCAGGCATGCCTAAAATTCCTGCACTTGGGAAGTGAATCTGGAGTTCAAGGCGATCTTTGAGAGCAACCTGGGATACATAAGAAAACTGGAGGGAAGGAGGGATTGGTGCGCAAGAATGTATCAGACAACATTCTTCCTTGGTAGAAAGGTTTTTCAATTCCTCTCCTCCCTGTTCCATGTAGCAGACTATGCTGATGGGGAAGCTGCAGTTTGTGGTTGCATTTTAAGCCAGAATTGTGTATTGGCTGTTTTTCACTCTTCTACTCTTTTGGGAGCCCACCACCCAACTCCCAAATAAATTAACCCCCCCCCACACACACACACACGCACACACACAGACACAGTCTTATTCTTACTTTTAGCTTGTCTTGTTTCTGGTTATCTTTCCTTAACTTAAATTATTCCATCTACCTTTTGCCTCTGGTCTTTGTCTTCCTTACTTCTGTATATCTTACTTTTACTCTTACTCAGTGGCTGACGGTGTGGCTTGGTGGTTGACCCCTGGTGTCCTCCTCTGCTTGTTCTCTTGTTCCTCTTTCCAGGTTTCTCCTATTTAGTCTCTGCCTGACAGCCCCGCCCATCCTTTCTACTAATTTCAGCTCTTTATTAGACCTATCAGGTATTTTAGACAGGCACATTAACACAACTTGACAGAGTTAAACAAATGTAACATAAAAGAATGCAACACATCTTTGCTCTTTAAATAAATGTTTCACAGCATAAACAAATGTAACACACCTTAAAATAATATTCCACAATATAAATGTGTGAGAACAAGTAGCTTTTCAGGTTGCATTCTGCTTAATGGCCAGTTGCTGTCAGTCCCCCTGATCTTTTCCAAGCCCTCAGGATAGAGTGTGGGGTTTGTGCAGATTTCCTTGTCATGTCCCATATGTTCTGGAGATAAGTTCAAGGGACAGAAAGTGACAGTGCCTGTGCTATTTATTTACCCTTTTGGCAAGGGTCCTGGCTGCCTCCGTCAGCATCTGCTTCCTACAGTCTATCCCGTTTCATATTTGGCCAGTTTTCTTCTTATCAGGTGATGACACTGCCCTCATTTCCTGCATAGAATTTTGCTCAAGTAGGGGCTCAGAGACTCAGCTTCAGCTTCCTGCTGGCTGTTCTCAAACTTGTGGAATCAGAGGAGTAGAGGGCGCACCCTGCAGAAAGACCCTTCTCACTGTAGCGTGGCCACAAGGTGTGAGGCCGCTCCAGTGTGTCCCTCTGCAAAGCTCTCACTTGGTTCATTCCCTTTGTTTTCAAGAAAGGAGAGGCTTATTATTTATGTTTTTCACACTGAAGGAGCTTCTAATTTGCCATCTTACCCAGAAGTGTGGCTGCTGCTTTTAATGTTAGTAACAATTATCCTTTTCCTTTGTCCTTAGTAACAATTGTCCTTATTCTTATTCTTATTCTTATTCTAAGAATACAGCTGCTGAGTGTTTGCCTCTACCTTCCCTGGAAGATGTAACCTACTCCTATCATCTGTCTCTATACTTTAAAAGTTCATTGTTGGTTTTTAAATGAAAAATCTGTATTTTATGACTTACTCTGTATCTAATATAAAATGCAACTTTTGGCTTTATTTCTGTTTATGAAATTTCTGATATGCTTTAGAATGAATTTTTTCACTACAGATTCGGCTGCAGGCATATATGTATATATAAATTGTGTATTATATTAAAATATGTAATAGGTCAAGAGTACAGTTGATGTTGTAGAATTCAGGGGGCAGGAGCTTGAGGTAGTCACATTGCATCTGCAGTCAGAAAGCAGAGAGCAATGAATGCAGGATCATCTGTTTGATTTTTCCTTTTCATTTAGTCCAGAAAACCTCCCATATTTGGGGCACATATTCCCACCTCTATTAACCTCATCTAGAAACTTCTTCACAGACAAAGGCTACAGTCATCTCAGTGGGAAACAAATATCCATACAAGGCTGTGTTGGCTGCTTTCTATTAACTAAGACGTAAGCTAGAGTCGTTTGGAAGGAGAAACCTCAACTGAGAAAATGCCCCCACCTAATTGGCCCTGGGCTGGCCTGTGCTTCATTTTCTAAACTGAAGTAGGAGTGACCAACTTGCTGTGGGCTGTACCACTCCTGGGCTGGCAGTCCCGGCTGCTGAAGAAAACAGTGGTAGTAAGCACCTCCTCCATGGCCTCTGCTTCAGTTTCTACCTTGAGCTCCTGCCTTGACTTCTGGGAGGATGAACTGTAATCTGAGAGTAACTGTGAGATAGCATAAAACCGTTTTCTCCCCAAGTTGCTTTGACCTTAAGACAATAGGTTTCTAAACCAGTTTATTAAAGGATCCTGAGTAAGAAACGTACTAATTCTGTCTTTTGTTACTGATGTTTGTAGGTTTAACAATGACCCATCTATTGATGTTCTTTTACTTACAACTCACGTTGGTGGCCTTGGACTTAACCTGACTGGTGCTGACACTGTGGTGTTTGTGGAGCATGACTGGAACCCCATGCGGGATCTACAGGCCATGGACCGGGCCCATCGTATTGGGCAGGTAAAAGTCATCTCACACTAAAGCTAGGAAGTCTAGATCCAAATTCTGCTTTAATGTTAAGCAGTCATTCACATCTTCTATGATAGCATTTCCACTACCACTTTGTGAGCTTGACTAAGAACACCTGGGTCACTGTCTATCCTGATGTTCAACGGTTCCTGAAAACATTTTAGGTCGTGGGACCAGAAAAAACTCCAGTCACAGTTTAGATAATGAAAAGAGCTGGCTTGACAAACCCGAGCTTACCAGTTTTCATTACAGTTGAATTGCTTTTCTTATTCAGAAACGTGTGGTTAATGTCTACCGGCTGATAACCAGGGGAACACTAGAAGAGAAGATAATGGGCTTGCAGAAATTCAAGATGAACATAGCAAATACTGTTATTAGCCAAGAGAATTCTAGTTTACAGAGCATGGGGACTGATCAGCTTCTTGACTTGTTTACGCTGGATAAGGTAAGAACTTACTTAGCTTTAATCAGTCTTGGTGCTGTCTGTGGTGAGTGGTGAGGGTGCACACACTCTGAGTTTGCCAGACTGCTGTGGTGCAGTCTTTGAGATCAATATGTAAAAGCACTAAGAATAGAAGGTATGTTCACTTCACCTTTTAAAAAAGATTGTATTTTAAATTCTATATGTTAGTGTGTGTGCATATGTGCTCAGGGCCCGTGGAGGCCTGAAGAGAGAGGGAATTGGATCCTCTGTGCTTGAGACCCCTCCATAAAACATTACACCTCTTAACTGCTGAGCCACCTCTCCAGCCTCCAACACCTCTCTCTTTTTTCTCTTTTTTTTTTTTCTCCCTGTGAAACAGTCTTGGCTATCCTGGAATTCACTCTGTAGACTAGGCTGGCCTTGAACTCACATTTTTTAAAGTACATTTACTTGAGTATGTGTGGGCCAGTTGTCGCACATACACAACACACTTGGGTCAAAACAATGTCCTGAAGTTGGCTCTCCTTCCACCGCCTGTCTCCTGGGGACATGACTCAGACAGTCAGGCTTGGTGGCAAGTACATGTGCCTACTGAGCCATTTTGTGAGCCATATAAATTTCTCCATACTAGATCTTTAAAGTCTTGGTCTTTGTATTGTCAGCAATGTCTTGTCTCAAGGTTTCTTTCCTTTGTGTTTTCCTTCTCAAAGGATCTTATAATCTCTGGAGTCTGGAGCTCATGGGTGGGTATTTCTGGTTCAAATCCTAATCATTGGCAACTTTGGGCAAGTTAAATTCTGAGCATCTATACCTATATACATAGTGTTAAGAGAAAATGAAATTTTACCACACGCACACATAATACGGGCATTGAGAGCAGACTGTCAATGGATAGGAACATTATTGTGGGGGGTTAAACTCTTAATCTATTAGATAACAACCTAACATGGGAACATTGTACCATAGCAGAGTATGGTGGTTGAGGCCTGTAATTCCAGGACTCAGGAAACTGAGCCTGCCTAGGCCTAACCTGGGGTAAATAGCAAAGCCCTTCCTCCCTCCCCTATTCTCACCCTTGTCTCTTCTCATTTTATTGATTGGTTGAGCGAAGGTCTCAGACTAGCTGAGGATGACCTTGAACTCCTGATCCTCCTGAGTGCTGGGATTATAGGCATTCCCCACTGTGCCCAGTTTTGTGCTGTGCTGGGGTCTAACACAGGCAGAGTGTGCAAGGGCATTCTACCCCTAAGCTACTCTCTACCCTCTCTGGCTTCTTTTTTTCCAGTGTTGGATATTGAACTCAGGGTCTGGTGCACAGTAGGCCCCATTCTACCGGAGCTACAGCCTCTGACCTCTCTTTCTCTGTGGTGCCCGTTCCCCCCACCACCACACCGTTTTTCACGACAGGATTTCTCTATGTAGCCCCAGCTGTCCTGAAACTCACTCTGTAGACCAGGCTGGCCTCGAACTCAGAATCCACCTGCTTCTGCCTCTCTAATGCTGGGATTAAAGGCATGCATCACCACCACCAGGGTCCCTGTTTTTTGTTTTTTAAAAAGGTAATTCTGAAGTTAATGAGCTCATTTTTAAGACAGGCAGAGGTGGTACACACTTTTAATCCCAGCACACAGGAGGAAAAGGCAGGGGGAATCTCTGAGTTCAAGGCCAGCCTGGGCTAGAGTGAGTTCCAGGACAGCCAAGGCTGTATATATATAATGAGACCCTGTTCAAATAAACAGCTCATCTTTATCTGCCAATGTCTTATTAGGATGGCAAAGCAGAAAAGGCTGACAGCTCTACTTCTGGAAAAGCCAGCATGAAATCAGTTCTTGAAAACCTGAGTGACCTCTGGGATGCTGAGCAATATGATTCCGAGTACAACCTGGAGACCTTCATGCGCTCTCTCGAGTAACTGCTGCTAGTTCAGTTACATTCTGCTGATATTCAGCAAACTCCGAAGTCTATGGTGAACTTTAACTGAATGTATAAATAGATCTGAAGAATATTCAGCATAGTGCTGGCTCTTGTTTCACTGGGGAACAAGTTATTCTCAAATATTTGCACTGTATTAAATTTCAATGGTAATGTGAAAAGTTTTCAATTTTACGTGCTGAATAGCTGCAGCCAGGAAGCAGCCAGGTTTCCGTGTGCTACCAGGAGGGGCTTCTGCGGAGAGAGCCTCCTCTACAGTCACTTCGTTCATGACTCGATCCACCAGTGCTGTGGTGTCGGTGTGCATTGTTTTCCTTAAAATAGTACTTGTTTTTATAATTGACTACAAATAGGGCTTCTTTTGTATAAAAGCCTTAATGAGCCATACTTTTCTGAATTTCAGAGTGACTTTAATATTAGTCATCCTTAGAACATGAAAATGTTAAAGAATGAATTGAAGCAGGCCCTGTGGCAACCTTTGTATATTTAATTAAAGCAGATGCATATAGTGTTTTTCAAATCTTTATTAACATCATTTTGTTCACTTTCAAAGTATAAAAACTATTCTAAATACAGGTACTGGTATATTTAAGGCTATAATAACATCCTATTAGAGGGTGGGTTTTTGTTTAATTTATCTAATGGCTAGGATATAGCCAGATTCAAAGAACATATGTACTCAGTAGGTTTCAATCATATATATATATATATATAATATATATATTTTGTAACTATGAACACACAGTTTTTCAGGCATAGATTTTACAGTGCTTAAAATTGCAAACCCTGTGGTGAAGGCTGTTTACTGTCGTAGAGCATGACTGATGCACAGGGAGGAATTGCTCTTTATACACGGCGTACAAGGATACACACATCTATATGCACAGTGTCCATCCTACACCCAGTGGGTCTGGTTTTGGCACTAAAATCATGTAGTTATACCAGACAGCAATAATAACTGAGCATGGAGCTAATGGTGTTAACACAGCTCAGTGGTGAGGGTGGGCAGCTATATATAGATACGCATGTGTGTGTGTGTAATTTTATAAATTTCCCACTAAGTTAATACATGCCTGTGATACACACATGTGTGGAATATATTTGTGTATATATATATATGTACAGGTAATAAACATCCTTAAGATTTGTGTCTGGTCCTACACCTAGGCATCAACTTAAAAACCATCAGACCTCAATTGTACAATAACAAGGGTTTTGTTTAAAATAATTAAAAGTTCTACAGCACTTAGATATGAAGTTTGTCATACTTGAGTAGCCTTGACAACCATGCTGTAATACTGAACCTAGCATTCCACAAGAGAATAAATACAAATTGTAAAGTCTGTGCAATTGTGTGTTGTTTACAGTGAAGACCAAACAGCCAGCCCAGATACATGGGTTTTTGAAAAGCTACACATTTTCATATCTAAGGTTTATATTCAAATATAGTATACTAAAAGGAGAACTCATGATTTTATGTAGAGTATACAGTGTACTTGAGTGTTTTTATAAATATTTATTTGCTATTTGCATATCTTCTAAAAGCAGGGAGCAGTTTTATCATTGAAGAATTCACACCAATATATTATTTTTTTTATCATAACATGAAAAGTCACAACTAGGAGTGGCTGTCTAGGCAGTTGAAAGTTTGCAGGTTTAATCAGAAAGTACATTTGTATACTGGCAAACCTTTTATTGTAAGATGTGAAATCACACTTTCTAGTTTCCCAAACAAAGGTAAACACATGACTCAGAACTTAGGATCCTGTTCCCGAGACGGTGGGTACTGTCATGGCACTGCTGTCAGCTCTGTGGGTGTGGCCATGTGTTGGTTATGTTTTTAAATGTGCTGGCCTGGGAGATAAACATGGTGTAGTGTTGGTGCTGAGCTGGGTTGTGAGCTCAACGGAATCCATTGTACTACTGTTTGTTGTTGAAGTTTTTAATAACTAAACATGATTACATTTGGGTCGATATACACTGACTATTTCTTATAGGAAAGTCTGTAAAATTTGAGGTTCTGGGTGTAATGTCCAACATTTATACACACTCACAAAGTCTAGTCTTTAAGCAGAACTTTACTTGATGCTGACTAGGAGAGCAGTCTCCATTGCCACTGAACAGGTTTATAGAGGCTTGGTCAAATGTAAATATTCGGGGGGGGGGCATTTGAAAGTGTGACAGTGTAGGACCATACCCCTTGAATGTATCCAATCTCAGAAGCAAGCTGGGTCAGGCCTGGTTAGTACTTGTAGCGAGAACATGACCAGTTAAGTGGCAGAATTGCACGCCTTTAGTCCCAGTACTCAGTAGGCAGAGGCAGGTGGATCTCTGTGAGTTTGAGGTCAGCGTGGTCTACAGAGCGAGTTCCAGGACAGCTACGAGTATACAGAGAAACCCTGTCTTTAAAAAAAAATAAGACAAAGCCCCAAACCAATGCAATAGTTTGCAGGAAAGAACACACACTGTCATATGCCTATATTGAGTATTGCCCACCAATCTAGATTTGTACCTTCTTCAGACCTCAACTTCCCAGGACACTGGCACCGGTGGGATTAAGTGACATTAATTTCAGAGATGTCTGTTATCAAATGTCAGAAAATTCAGTGTGAATTAAAACAATAAAAACTTGAGTTTTGATACTGATCATTTGAGAATGTTTGCTTGTTATATACTAAGCACTGGCAACCTGGAAAAATAGAGCCTGTGAAGAGATAGGACAGGCCTTCTAGGCTGGAGAGATGGTTTGAAGGGTGAAGGCACTTGCCACCTAAGAACCCAAGTTCCATCCCTGAAGCCCTTTGAGTGCCATCTGGCTACAGACGACTCCAGTGTCTTAGCTCAGTCTCAAGGCAGCCAGCTCTGCAATCTCACCATCTTGCTGCTTGTGGGCTTCCAGCTGGTCTAACTTGCAGCCAGATCCCCGTGCCTTGTCACATCATATCACAACCCGTCATGGCCACGTCTCTCTCCATGTTTGTTTGTCTCAGTCAAGGCAGTCTATGTACTTGTTGTAACTCAACCTAAAACCAGGTGCTGGCAGGCAGTGGTGACACACGCCTTTAATCCCAGCAGAAAAACAAAGAATAAACCTGGCTGTTTGTGTTCTTACACTACAGAGTGAACATGAAGTGAGAAGTGGAAACAATAAAAAGATTTGGGGAGGGTGAAGATAAGGAAACAACTTTTATTCATATTAATTTCAGACCTCTGCTAAAAGACATCTCTCAAAGGAGAGATGCTGAGGAGGCAGGTAAGTCAAGCCCAGAAAGGGAGAAGTCGAGATACACTCAGTTTGGAAGATGGTACATTTAAGTTAGGAGCTGCAGGGTCACCTACAGGGATGCTGTGACTGCAAAAGGTCTGAAGGCCCAGCCAGCCAAAGCTAGGGCATGCCTGTAGGTATGCAACGAGCCTGATTTAAAAGAGAGCAAGTCACACGCACATTCACAGCTCCTTTGACCCATGTACTACACCAATGAGAGCAGCACAGAAATGATGGAAGCCAAACGATGGTGGCGCTCCCATCCATCCCAGCACTGGAAGGCAGAGGCAGGCGGATGAGCTCGGGGCCAGCCTGGTCTACAGAGTGAGTTCCAGGACAGACTCCAAAGCCACACAGAGAAATCCAGTCTCAAAAAACAAACAAAAAAAGAAAAACCAAAGGCGGCATGGTTTCATTAATGTAAGAAAACACCTCCAGTAAAATTAGCTATTGCTTGCAAAAAGGAAAATAAACTTTAATGGTAAGCACGGTAGTTTGAATGTAATCGGCCCCCATAATCTCGGAGCAGCACCTTTAGAAGGCGTGGCTTTGTGAGAGTGGAGGAAGTGAGTCATTGTGGAGGCAGGCTTTGACAGGTTTTGACAGGCTTTGAGGTCCCCTGCACTGCACTCGGGATACCACCCCGTGTCACCATTGACTGATGTAGCACATGCTCTCTGGTGCTTGTCATGATAATGGCTGAGCTTCTGAAACTTTAAGAGCCGCCTGAAGTAATTGTTTCCTTACAAGATTTGCTGTGGTCACAATGTCTCTTCACAGCAGTGACTAAGACAGTACGTGGGTTGGTTCAGGAGAAGTCATGGGTACTTGATAAACACTTAACAGCAAACCTGAACAAAACCACTAAAACAAACTCAAGGTGGCAACAGGGTTTCACATCTCAGAAGCAACAGACCAAAGGAAAAACTGGAGTAGCATATAGAGCATCTAAATATATATGACGTGTTTGGCATAGCAGTCTGGATATGACAACAACTTTCAGAATACATTTCCTTGGATGCTTCTATGGGAAATTGACCCAAACTGACCATATGCTGAAACAGAATGCAATACCTGGCAAATTTCAAGAAACTTAAATCACACATGTCCATTTATTTACCTATTCAATATACTTGAGCTTTTAGCCATTACAGTAGAGCTATCTAAAAGACAAAAATGGGGGCTGGAGATAGGACTCAGTGGTTAAGTGGCCGGTCTTCCAGAGGACTCTGGTTCATATCCCACCATCCATAAGAGAGCTCACAATGATCTCTTTTTTTAGTCCCAGGGATCCAACCCCCTTGGAGCATCAACTACATGTATAGTGCACAGGCACCCATACACAAAACATCCACATGTATATAATTTTTTAAAAATCTGACAGGAATGGTCCCACATCCAGCATTTAGGAAGCAGAAAGTTTGAGGCCATCCTAGGCTGCATGAGATCCTTCTGAGAAAACAAAGACCTTATAAAAAAGTCATTTTCTATGTAGAGCCTACAAAAGCATGATGATGAGGCAGCTATGTCGATATTTAAAATGTCTCTGAATGCTAGCAGTAAGAATTTTCTTTCCAGACAGGATTTCTCTGTGTAGCTTTGGAGCCTGTCCTGGAACTCACTCTGTAGACCAGGCTGGCCTTGAACTCACAGAGATCCACCTGCCTCTGCCTCCCGAGTGCAGAGGGTTAAAGGAAGAATGTCATCTTTTTGTTTTTGTTTTTCGAAGGTGTAAATATAACAGCACCAGCATCCATGAAACAGGTACATATTTACAAAGCATGTGAGGATGTATATTGGATATTATAGAACAGCGACATGACCTTGGGAAATGGAGATATACCACATTCACGGATTAGATATACAACTTTGGGGCCCTGGGTTTAATCTCCAGGACTAGACACCAAATTGTTCAGAAAACTCAATACTGTTAGAGTTTCAAACATGTACCACTCAAATCAATACCACTCAAAATCCCAGTGAGAGCTTTTAAAAGAGCTGATTCTAACCCTGAGAAATTAAAAAAAAAAAAAAAAAAAGAGAAGAAAGACGAAGGGCTTTTCATACCCTGGAGGAGGAGTGCTGCAGACAGGCCTGAAAGATACATTGGACAGGAAGGGAACCGAGCTGCATGCCCAGGTCATGAATTTAAAGGAGCAACAATAGGGCAGATGGACCCAGAGGCTGCCTGCAAATACACTTGGCTTTATTGCTTGGTTTTTCTTTAATGGAGAAAGGGCAGTCTCCAAAATTGGGTCCATATGCTTTAGAAAAAATATCTATATATAGAGAGATGTAATTCAACACACGTGTATGATGTGCAAAATTTAGCTCAACTGTGAACGTATATTTTAAACTAAAATAAAACAAGACAAAAGCATGGGGGCTGGGTGTGTGGCTCAGTGGGCAAAAGCGAGCCTAAATGCAGGAAGAAGCGTGGTGACAAACACCTGTAATTCCAGCACCCAACAGGTAGAAGCAGGGGGATCTGAATTTCAAGGTCTGCTTAGTGAGTTAGGAGGAGCCAGCTTGGGCTACTTGACACCCGGAGGGGGGGTTAGAAGGAGGAGGAGGAGGGGGAGAGGGAGGAGGAGGAGTTGACTCTGGGTTGAAGGAAGATTCCTTAGACGTGACACCTGTGATAGGCACTCTTCCACACCCTCCCCATAGCCACCCTGTAGATCCCTTTCCTTGCATTCTCCCTAGTTTTTGCTTTCTGTTACATCAACGCCACCATCAAAACAAGGTTACAACTCATCAAGCGTAGGCAAACAGGAGCTTGAGGTAGAAACACACACCTCTCCTGGATTTCTCCGAGGCTAGCGTGCGCGCGTGCACACACACATGCACACACACACACACACACACGCACGCAGGCACGCACGCACGCACGCACGCACGCACGCACAGACCAGTCTCCCGAGGCTACGCTTCCATTGAGGTTCCTTTTTCCCAGGTGCATCAGATTGACATTAGCCCCGCTTCACAGTAGCCTCTACTATCCCACAAAGTAGGTCGTGTGAAGCCCAGCTTAAAGCTGGTTGGTCGTAGCTGAGGCTAGCAACTGGCGTCTAACGTCGAGTGATGGGACTGAGCTCCCGGCCTGTGAGAGCTGCTGCTGTCTCCAGGCAGTGGCAGAACTGAAGGACGCATCCGGGCGTCCACTACAGGACAGTTTAGCCCACACACTGATGTCAAAAGTGGTTCGCGTTTCTGAGTGTGGCAGCACTCGCCTATCATCCAAACACTGGAGGCTGAGGCTGGAGCTGCTGTGTGTTCAAAGCCAGCCTGGGCTACATGTAGACCAGTATCAGGTCAGCCAGGGTTAAGGCCCTGTCCTAACCAAAAAAAAAAAAAAAAAAAAAAAGCCATATACTGGAACACACAGAAGGCAAATGCCAGAAAACGGTCTACACTATGTGGCAGAACATTTCAAATTTGAACAAAACTTTACTAAACACCTTTTAGAATGGTAAAAATCCAACACACACAGTATGGGAAACCCTGCAAAGGATCTAGCAACTGGACTGCATTTCGGGGTTCGTGGGGGGTGCGTTGGGGGTGTGGGTGTGTACAGTAAGAGGCACTCAGTTTTGAAGACAGTTTGGCAGTTTCTTACAATGATACCCACTAGCTGAGGGTCAGTCCCAACTCCAACACCCAGGCTTGCTATCAGATAATGAGTTCGACAGCTGACAAGAGCGGCGTTTTGGGGGCTACCTTTATCCAAAGGCGGGCGGTGGGGGGGCCTGAGGCTGAGGACTTGTGAGTTAAACAGCAACTTCCTTTGCCGGTGGAGGCACCTTCCTGCCCATCTGTCCTGCTCCGCGGGGAGCTGCGTTCATCTTCCGTTGATCTTTTGGGGTTAATTCACAGATCTCAGTCACACACATAACGCCACCCCCAACAACTCCTCTGGGTCCTGTGCTCAACAATCTTAGTTCAACTCCTCCAGCTAAGAAACGGGGGAGCGTGCGAGCGAGTCTTCCTGGAGACAAGTGAGGAGACCTAGGCCAGGCCTCTTGGGAAGCGGGGTGCTCACTGGTGATGGACGCTGCTGGAGAGCAGGCGCATTAGCGCCCCCCTTCCCGCCACCCGCTGTGGTGCCAGGCACGGTCGCTCGGGGTGCGCGGGGATGGATCCCTGTGGGCCGGGCGTGCGTGCAGTGCACTTACCTGCAGGGCGGTGCCCACGTCCACGCCCGCGGCGCCCGGGCCAGGCGGAGGCAGCCGTGGCGGGGGTGGGGGGCGCACAGGACACACCCCGAGGAGGGTCGGGGCGCATGGGGGCGGCCGCGGTCTCCGTCCCCCAACTTCCCACCTTTCTGCTCCCCCTCCTGCCCGCTTCCTTCCCCTCCCCATTCCGAGAGTTGCTCCACGGAGGCGGAGGCAAGCGGGGAGCCCAGAGCGCTGTCACTCTGGCTGGGCTCCTGCACGCATGCTCGACCCCGGGCTTTCGTCACGGAACCACCTGTGCCCCGCCTGCCCCGTGCAGGGTTTCTCATCCTTTTCCTTCAAGGACTGGTTGGCACTCAGAGAAAAGCGCGCCGCAAGGCCAGAAGCCATCCGAAGTTTTACACAGTCCCATTTTCTGAAAAACTTTATTAGGAGACCCTGGTATCATTGTGAAAAATAAGATGGTGTTAATACATAGCTTTTCACAACAGTTCTGATTAGGAATTTGGCAACCTGTTGGCAATTAAAACCCAAAGCATGGGGTCAGGGTAGATCAGGGGCAGAGCCCAAATTAAGCTTGCCTGAGGCCACACAGCACAAATCTCAAAACCCCACGTCTATCATCGGAGCCCACAAATACGTCACTGCTTCAAATTTATTTGTGCATTTGAAAGTTGTTCCTGAGAAAAAGTGAATTTTCATGGAATAGAATAACTGTTTGGAAGACTTGGGCTTGTTCTTTTTTTTTTTTAAACTAATGGAGAAAATCAGAATTTCCCTTGATGCCAAGCAAATGCGCAGAGCGAGAGAGACTCCGTAGCAAAAGATGACAAGGGCAAGTGCTTCGTACAACTAGATTTAATAAGTTGTTATTACAGAAAAAAAGTCCAAACTACAAAGTTTAAGCAGTTTAAGCCATAGCTGCGTGAGCTCCACGTTCAGTCACAGTAGCGAATCCGTACAAGCAGTATTAATCCAAGCCCCAGGGCACAGGAAGGGTTACCAGCAAAAACAATCCGAGAGAACAGGTAGGAAAAGATACAGTACAGTTAAAATTAGTTGTTAGTTGAAAAACAAATACAGAGATCATAGCTGTGAACACTCTAAAAGTCATGTCCATCATTTTGACAGCAAAAATACAAATACCTAATATCTTATCTCCGACAGCACTATGTCCAGGGGCAGTGCACCCCTGCTCTCTACTGGTCCCAATGAACTACTAAAATCAGACAAAGTCAACACCCTAGACTCGATCCACTTCTTGACCCATTTTGGGGTAGTAAGTCAACAGCATCAATTATAAAATACTCTGTGGTGGGAATGGAACACTATGGCAGCTGAGTTTGACAAGTTTGGTTATTATAAAAGAAAAAAATAAATGATAGCAAACACAGCATACAACTAGTGAGAGAGGAGTGACCCGTACAAATAAGCCAGTTTTAACAAAAAGACACTTTTTTTCACTAATCTGTGACTAACCTTTCATTCAAACCTTGCAAGCTGAGATGTCACAATACTCAAATATTTAGGTAGGAGCTTTACCCAGTTAAATGCCACTTTGTTGCTAATATAATAGGTAAAATGAAAACTAGCAGTTATTTGCTAATTGCATAAATGCAGTACACTGCGTTAGCCCATGCCTCACTAACAAGCTATAAAACACAAGATATAGGCAGAAATCTAAGCATAATCTTTATACCACTTAAACAAGAATTTTCCCAGTTTCTTCTGTTCCTAATCATTTATTTGTAGTTAATGTAAAATTCCAACCAATAGGACCCAATTTGAGTTAAAATTTTACATCACAACTTGATCTAATCTATATATTATTTACAAAACTGAATACATAGAGCGAACCCAAGAGCCAACTCTGGACACATGCTAACCCCAGTTCTTGATTAACCTCCTCTCCGCTTCAGCAGAACAAGAAGAGGCCACCAACAACTAGCAGAAATGCACATCTATCTAGAGAGTCCCCGGATGTTCTGTTTACACAACACCAGCTCTGAAGCTGTGAGCCATCTCTGCAGTAGCTGCAGCTGCTTTCACAGTGCACTCCAGGGGCTGAGGGGGACTCGAGGCGGGGATGGGGGATGGAGAAGCAGCAGCCGGAAGGCAGACAGATCGTGCAGAGTGCCCAGTGTTACCATGAGAAGAGGCTAACAAGGGAACAGACAGGGAGGGGAGGAAGATGCAGCTAACACATAAACAGTGGTGACATCTAGTGCGCTTCCCCAGGGCCTGCCGCCAGCCCTTCCAGGGACACATCAGGGGAGGCATTCACGTCATGCAACATACAAGGTGGGGGCTCCTCACACAACATACAAGGTGGGGGCTCCTCACACAACATACAAGGTGGGGGCTCCTCACACAACATACAAGGTGGGGGCTCCTCACACAACATACAAGGTGGGGGCTCCTCACACAACATACAAGGTGGGGGCTCCTCACACAACATACAAGGTGGGGTCTCCTCACACAACATACAAAGTGGGGGCTCCTCACACACATCGCCACTGTGCATGCGAATAAAAGATTTGGGAGGGAAAGGCACTAGTTCACACACGGACAGCAGTTGGTGGTGGACACACACACACACACACGCACACGCACACGCACGCACACACAGGACATAATGAGGAGATTTAGGGAAAGCACTGGACACTGCTGGCCGAGCATGGCTTCATACCCAATGCTATTATATCAGGAGGGGTGACCTGATGTCAGGCCACAGATTTTGCTGCATCTGGTGTTGTATAAACTCACTGTGACATCCTTAGAGACCTGTACTGTGACATCCCTAGTCTCACACTAAAGCACTGTAATAAAGGAAAAGGCTTGTCGAGATCCCGCACGTTCTGCTCACTCTGTCATTTATTACCCAATTGTCGTTACAGTCCCAGTCACTTTACAGAACCAACGGTTTCCATTGTCGCCACTATTGTAAACCACATCAGCATTAATACATAAAGCTTTGCATTTCAAAAAACTAGACACTTTAGTAACAATATTACAAAGGTTTTAGCTTCAAAAATAACTGAAAATGAAAAAAATAAACTTTTAAAGAATTAGCATCATAAAATTAATTTATTCCAAGTAAAAATACAAAATAATATTATGACGTTGACCAGATATGAAAGTCCCTCCCAGAAACAACTCCAAGTGATTGAGAAAGCACTCCTTAAAGAAAATACGAAATAAAATGAAAAATATGTAAATATGTTTAATTTTTTTCTTAGCAAAAAATCTTTCTAAAAATAACAATGAAAATTTGTCTCAGTACAAAGGCTACGTTACTATTGAAAAAATACCAGCATGAGGAAAAGGTACATATATTGACAGTAGAAAATGAGTTCCGTGAGTCACAATGTCTAAAGTCTGCAATGAAAATAAATCTGCAATAAAGATTTATGCCTTTTTTCTTTTCTTTTTTTCTATTTTTTATACAAACAGTACAAACAGTATTGCACGTAACAACAAAGAGTCGAGGTTAGTTACAGCCTTCAAAACTCCACTTAGTTCAAGTGTCCCATCAAGGAAGGCCACGGCAGGACCTGCGTTACAGGGGCTTCCCAGTCTAGTTGCAGGGCAGAACACCTCTGTGATTTAAAAAATAATTTTTTGAAGGACCCTCTCTTTTAATATAACATTAAGAACTTGGGGGGCACATTTATTTACAAAAACAAAAGGGAACATGTTATAATTTAATAAACTAAAAAAGTTCTCTTTAAAAAAATACAAACAGAAGAGCTCTTTCACAATCCTGGTCAGTCGCACAATCAGCACTTGATTATAAATATACAAATTAAGGGAAAGTAGTTTCTGTCACCTAGTCACAGCTCTCAGCACCAAATGGAGTCTCTCTTACAACCTGGTCTCCGCGCTAGTTTACGCTGCACAGTCTTCCAGCTTCTCTAGAGCTCAGGGTTATTTTAGTACATGAAAGAGGGGTGCGTCTTCCAAACATCTGTGTCTTTCACATAATTAGGTAGATTTCTGTAGGTTAGATATGATCTTTAATATTATAGTTATAAAGCTCTAACTTCTTCATTTTCAAAAAACACAAATAAGCATGAAAAAAATAAAGTTACCCATCTGTTAAATCATTTTCTTGCAGAATTAAATTAATATATATTTTCTGAATAAACTTACTTAGAAAATATCATTTCTTTCCTATATTTCAAAATTGAGGTATTGCAAAAGATCAGGTCAGTCAGAAAGCGCGCTTTTCCTTAAAAACAAATAAACGAAAATCATCAGCCAACTTCTGAAAACGTTCTAGAATATAAAAAGTAGTAGTGCGTAACAAAATTTCCCATACAGATGAAAAAAATTAAACACAAACATAGAAAAAAATGAAAAAACCAAACCAAAACAAAACCACATCTGGGCTGCAGAAAAGCAATTATTACCAAAAGGCCCAGAGAAAACCCCAAAGGGGGAGGGTTCTAATAGGCATCTTTTAATTCAGTAAAAAACTATTTTGTTTCTCCTTTTTGAAACAAACTGAAGCTGGAGAGCCAGTATTCACAACTAAACACTGGAGAGACAAAAAAGAACAAACTACAATAAAAACCAAGCAACACTGACTTCGAGACAGTACGAGGAAATCACAGCACGAAACACACAGTGACTTAAATCTACTCTGCAGTGTCACATCCAGTCAGATTGTCCCCAGAATTCAAAACAAAGGAAGAAGGGTTTAAAAAGCTTTACAGTCTTGTAATCACCGTGTGTGTTTCTGTTACTCTCTGCAGCCCGGGAGTGAATGCTACGAGTGTCCACAGTAGCAGGAGCAGGCTTCGTTCTATTCAAGCTTTACAGGTGAATCCAGGGAACTAGCAGTTAGTGTCGCACACAAGGCCACGTCTGCCCAGGCCATCTCCTTGGCACAGACGTCTTTAGCATCACCCTCACGTGGCTTTCTTAAAGATGTGCCTCCGTGTCAACTTGACAACTTATTTCTAGATACTGTGTGTATTCTTAGTGTTGTAGGCTAAGATGAGCTCTCTGGCTCCCTGGACAAGGTCTGAAGCTATGTAGTGGTGTGAGCACTAGGAGGTTGGAGCTCATGTGTTACTTAATAATATACCAGTTATGAATGGTCAAGTTCATTAATGTCTGACACAGAGGCTTTTAACAGTTACATTTGATCACAGTTAGACATAATCACTTTACTATATAAAATAAATTGCACAATATATAACAGAGCACCGCAAGTACTTCATCTACCATCCACAGATTTGCTGTAAGAGGATCCTACACCTAGGTTTTCTATTGGTTGAACTTATAATGGTCGTCCTGTTATGGGCTCTTCCTGTCCACAAGCATTCCACCCACTGAGGCATGCCTTCCTCCCACCGACTACCAATTCTTTGAATGAAAAAAAATCTTTAAAAAAATGAGTATTTTTATAGCTTATATAGATTCTTAATTTGTGCATTGTGGGAAGGTTTTATACTAGACATTGGATATAAAATTTATTGCATGCAGCAACCGCATTAAGAAAACATGCAGTCAGGAATGGCGGCCTCTGCTGGCTCTCTCTGGCCTCTTCCGGTCTCCCTCTGGCAGCTGGCTCTATCCCTAACCCACAAAAGTGTGTTGTTGGGTTCTTGTTTTTGTTTTTGATACCTTAGCCTGAATAGAGTATTATGGTATCAACAATACCATTTTAATAGCAGCAAAAGCTATTGCAGCATAAACTTACATAACACTAAAAGATCTAGCCCAAATCCTCGGCAAAACAAAAATCAAACATGAAGGAAAGGTAAAGACCCAGCTTGTGAGGTATCCGTACACATCAGAGTACGGAGCAACTACGGGCTTATTTTCATGACGGGCTAGCCTTACTCTACGAGACCCCACTACTGATTGCTGATTGGAAAGTGTTTGCTACATCGGCCTCTACTTACACGGTGACCTTTGGTAAGTCTTGTCCTAGGGGCGACTGTCTACGTTTCTGAAAACAAGTGCATGCTCCAGTTCCAAACCAATCAGAGCGACAACAACACAACATCAAACAAAGTCACAGACGTCAACCTGACGGCCGCTGATGAGAATGGCAGTCTACGTACTGTGGAGGTGACAGATCAGGTGTAAGAAATCAAGGTACCAAGCAGACAAGTTGTGAGTCAAAGTGCAAATGGGTACCGTTACACACTCTGCGATTCTGCATTATACTGGACGCTGAGTTCAGTAATATGACTGTAAATGATAATAATAATAATAATAAAAAGACCCATTTCTTCTTTAAAAATCGAGAACGAATGCACAGATTTCCAGAACACCGTGAGCCCTGAGGCAGTGCCCTCTCTTCCTCCTTGTGATCTACTCCAGTACTTGCAGCTGGGTCGGCCGGGGGCTCAGCTCCAGCGGAACGGGACATGCCGAGGGCGGTCGCCTCCTTCCTTCACCAGCGGTTTGTGGAACTCGCGGCCGGCTCGGGAGTGGATGCTGGCCCAGCAGTATTCACAGTAGTACTGCAGACAGGTGACGTTGGCACAGAAGAATGGGGCAAACTTCCCCCCGCAGCGTGTGCCCTGGCACTCGTCACACATCTGATCATCCAGCACATAGGGCTTCACTTCCACCTGGGCCGGGAGAGGAGAGACAGGAAGCGGCTCAGCAAGGCAGACCTGAGGCTGGGGGGTTTCTGCCCCGTTCTAAACCTCACTGCATGCTCTACTGGTTACTGATCTGTAAGGGGTGCAACCCCCCACACAGCGTGCAGCCTGAACTCCTGAGGACGGACAGCCAGTGAGGACAAAACCTCCCAGCCGGAGGAATGCCTCAGACCAAGGCTCCAAGTCTGAGAAGGCAGGGCCAGAACAAGGCCTGGAGGGAGAAGGGAGGCTGCAGAGAGGCCGGGTTTCTGCTGTGTGACAAGGCTTTTGAAACTGTCCCACAGTCAGGGACTGGACCCCAGGGGCTGGAAGGGAACCGGGGACACTGAAGCTGGGACAGGGTGTTTTATCACAGCCCTTCAGGGAACACTTGACCCAAATGAAACCACATGACATGAAAACCTTTCAAAACAACAACAACAAAAATCTGCTTGTCTGTGTTCCTTTTCCCAGAGCCTAGGAAAAAGACTGAACTGTGAATTTCTTTGTCTTGAACACCTGGACTAACCAGGGAAAGGCTGAGCCAGTGCCCCTCACACCTGTGGCGGGCCGAGCTGGGGACTGGCGACCCTACGGCTGGTCTGCTCTTGCAAGATGTGTCAATGTCTGACTCCAGATGCCTCTAGCAGGGCTTGAGTCAGGGGTCTCACCAAGCGGGGAGGGAGGAGGGAAGCAGGGAGGGGGAGCACGGAGGCTATAGCCTAACCCCCACTGTGAGCTCCTGTCCACAGGTCTATCTGCTGGCCAGACACTTCCACTTCAGAAGACTAGCAATCTTGGTCACCAAAGGAGAAATGTCTCTCTGCTCCTCCCCCACCCCCTTAAGCTGAGGATTGAACAAGTGGGATTCAAAAATAGCCCTTCTGTTAATCTCTGCGTCATAAACTAACATGGCTGTGCAATCAAGCCTGTCTGGGACCACAGTCAGGCCACACCGGAAACTGTTCCCCTCATCTGCACACCAGGAGAAAAAAAGAAACCTCGCCCACCTCGAAACCAAAACAACGACCTGTCCTACTTTTGTGAGTGAAGCCAGGCACTCGGAGCTTTGCTGCCCCACACGGGCAGGGCAGCTGCAGCTCGTGACGCTTCCTGAGGCCAGGCCATCAAACTCTGCTTGGATGTGCTTAGCATTGGTGTCTTCTATGGAGCCCCAGGTTCTCTGTCTTCCTTGGTTTAGTTCTCCTATGCACATGTGCCACTTGAGTTGCCTATCACAAAGGTCCTCTCCTTGGGCAAGACTCTGTACTGCCTACAGGACTGAGTTCAGCTGCCTCAACAAAACAGGTGTTTCCTGTCTCCAGTGTCCCCATTCATGCCGGCCTGCAGTAAGCCCAGACTTCCCAATGCAGACTCTTAACTGCTCAAGCTTGCTGCTCCCCCATCTCCTACTTCCTGATATAAGTCTAACTTACATAGCCCAGGCTGGCTTCACACTCAAGATTCTCGGGTCCCAGCACCCTCCCACGTTGGTCTCTACTGGAACAGGTATTTCCCAGTTTAAAAGCCTTCCTCACACCGGCTTCCAGCACACTCTGAAGTATCACACCTAATGACATCCAGCTGTTCTTTTCCCTTGCTTGCATAAAGTCAACAATTTGTGCGTGTTGTATGCACTCATGTGTACTGGTGCATATGCCCACGAATAAGCTAGGAAGCTAGAGGAGAGCGGTGGGTGTCCTGTTCTTCACTGGGGCTCCTTGAGACAGGCCTCTCACTGACTGAGCTCCACAGGCAGTCAGCAAGCTCGGTGAATCTGCTGCCCTCCCTACTGCACTGCAGTGCCAGGATCACGGCTCTGCGTGTGTACTGGGATCTCAACTCCAGTCCTCATGCTTGCACACCAAACACTTTACTTACCGCCATCTCCCCAAGTCAACAGGTTTTTTTTTTTTTGCTTTGTTTTTGTGGTGGTTTGGATGAGAATGACCCCCATAGTATATCTGTATGCTTAGTCCCTAGTTGATGAACTATTTTGGAAGGATTGGGAGGTGTGTCCTCGTGAGGAGGTGTGTCCTCATGAGGAGGTATGTCACTGGGTCTCACTATGTAGCTCTGACTGGCCTAGAACTTGCTTTGTAGAACAGGTTGGCCTCAAACTCAGAGACTCTCCTGCCTCAGAATGCTGGGATTAAAGGTGTGAGCCACTATGCCTGGCCAAATCAACAATTTCGTGCTACTCAATACATTCATCCCATGTGCAGACTCTACCTAAGGTTACAAAACGCTTCTGGCACCTCCACAGGAAGCCCTGTGTCCATTAATTACCTACTTTCCCACTTGAGATCATTCTCCATTCCTTCTCTATGCTTAATACTCTGGGTATTCCACAGAATGAAGCATACACTGAGATCTGCTCCATCTGGCCTCTGTGGCCTTTGTGGGGTTTTGAGGTTCACCTATGCTGCACACACAGGGCTCTGGGTTCTATGCCCAGCACTGCATCATCCACACTGTAGCATGGAGGAGGATGTGGTGATATCTTTCTTGCACAAATAAAGCCTGTCCAAGAAAGATGTCACTATCCTGTCTAGAGTTTATATATTGTCCTTCTGTGATCTTTGATGGAGTTGAAGACAGAGCTATGGCTATGGTCTTCCTTAGTTAGGATACATATAAAGCTCTAGACTTACACAGAAAGGATAGATGGTAGAATATTTTCTTTAAATCTTGCTAAATGTTAATGGACTAGATATTATAATTATAGTTCTTGCTTAATAACTGTTTTGTTATATATAATTTGACTATGTTAAAGTTAAAACCTTTTTATTTAGAGAGAAAAGAGGAGGTGATTGGGGATGTCCTTTCGTATATGCTTCTCTTATTGGTTAATGAATAAAACACTGTTCAGCCAATGAGGTAGGAAGATAGGTGGGACTAGGAGACAAGGAGAATTCTGGGATGTGTAGGCAGACAGCAGTTGTCACGTAGAGTCCAGGAAGAGAGGACTCACAGGGCATTCTCCAGTAAGTCAAGACCATGTGGAAATACTTAGAGTAATAGAAATGGGTTACTAATTAAGACAGAGCTAGCCAATAAGAAGTCCAAGCCACCGGCCAACAGTTTTATAACTAATAAAGCATCTGTGTGTTTATTTGGGGCCAAGAAGGGTGGCAGGACCTAGCTGGGCCAGAAAGCTTACTGCAACAGGAAGACTTACTTGTTTATGGGTAAGTGATACTCCACTGTACATTTTTACTCAACTCCCACATTTTATTCACTTGTCTGCTGATGACACTGGGTTGCTTCTGCCTTTAGTCTGCTGTGATTGGTGCTGTTTGAAATATGCAAGCATGTACATTTGTGAGAGCGGATATTTCTAGTTTTTTTTTGGGGGGGGTGGTAGATACTTGGGAATGAACTTAGTTGGACAGACAGTAATTTGACTTTAACTTAAAAAGATTTATTTACATGTTAGTTATAGGTGTCTATGTGTGTGCACATGTGTGCAGGTACATGTGTGCAGGCCTCTTGGTAAACCTGGAAGCCAGCGAGTCCCGACAACCCTCCTCTTTCAGCCTTCCATGGAGCTAGAATTATAGGCATTTTTGTGGGGAAGCTTATCACACAGGTTCTGGGATTCAAACTCTGGTCCTCATGACTATAGGACAAGTGTTCTGAACTGCTGAGCCATCTCTTCAGCCAATGTTTGAGTTTCTGTGGAACTATCAAGTTCTTTTCCACAGCAGCTACAAACCATCTGCACACCAACCCACAAGGTATCAGAGCATCATTCTCTCCATGTGTGCCAACACTTCACCTTCCCTTTGTGTGTGTTGGGGAGGGGGTTTATAACCATCCTGGTGGTAGGATGTGGCCCCGCCCTGGTTAAGATAGGATATTCAGCTTTTCACCTGCATATTGCTTTTTTTTTTTTTTTTAAGATAGGCTTGAACTCATTACTCACTGCCTCAGTGTTCTTAGGGCTGTGAATGATAGGCCCACACCACCACCCCAAGCATAGCCATATCTATGTCTTCTTTGGACATATACAAAGGTCTATTCAAATCTGCTCGTATTAAGTGGTCTGTCTTTCTCTTGTTAAACTTTAAATATTCTGGATTTAGCCACTACTGTCTAGAATGGACAGTATCCTTTCAATCATGTTAGTTGCCTTTTCACTTTTTGGACAACATCCTTTGATACAGAAAAGTAGGTCACTTGTGTGCTGCACATCCAAAAGGTAATGTGACCAGAATGGCCCTTCTAGCTATCTGACTGGCTTCCAGCTGAGCTCAGTGACAGCTGTGAGGGGTCTGCAGGATCGTGTCAGATCTTTGTAAGAGCTGTCATAAAGACCAGACACAGTGGATGCCTTATGATCACTGCAGTAGTTTACCTCTTAAGCTGAATTTCCAGAGGTGAGACATTTCTTCTCCCTTTGATGCTAAGACACCTTGACTTTTGATCTTTAAAAAGTAAATATTGTGCTGTGCCAGGCATGGTCACACAGGTACCTATAAGCCCAGCACTTAGGAGGTGGAGGCAGGAGATCAGGGGCTGAGGTCATTCTGAGCTACAAGATCCCTGTCTCAAAACACACAAACACACTCACACACACACACACACACACACACACACACACACACACACACACACACACTCTCTCTCTCATGTACCCCCCACTCACACTCACACACCCACACATTAATGCACACACGATCTCCTTGCTAAAATGTAATATGCCTTCTGTCCCCTCGCAATCATGAGGCATGAAACCCTGTCAGGTCAGGTAACACAGCACAATGCAGTCTTCACCTTTCTGTACCTCTTCACACTCTGCTATCACTCCTAACACCTTCCAACTGCCCTTTTAAGTTTGTGAATTCTCGTCAATTTTATTTTTACTTAATTAATGCCAGTCAATGAGTCTACATGGAGCACCTGTTTCCAAGCAAACATACAGCTTTTGAACAACACTGACCTCTGAGAGGCTTTCCTGAAGACTTCTCCTGACCTTCTTCGAT